CCAGCAGCCAGTCAATCAACAGCTAGTTAACCAGCAGCTCGTTAACTAGCAGCTAGCTAACTAATAGCTAGTTAATTAACATCTATGTTAATTAGCTCTATAGCATCTGTAAAGGACCGGTAGAGCATCTGCAGAGTATTCTCACCGCCGTTAAAGTGAATCGCTAGTGAGGAGCCTCGAAGTTGGCGCCAGCGAAGTGAGCTTATCCCACGTCTACGAGGCTTTACACGCTGTGAAGAAGTGGTTGGCGTTGACCATAAGGGAGGCAGATAGAATCGTGAGGTGTAGACTGGCGCGGGTAAGTTTCTGGCTCACAGCCGGATCTAGCATCCTGCTAATTGAAACACCTATATCTTCTTCCTGATATCCTTCTGTATAATACTCGTTGAAATTTTTGAAGATAGTTAGCTTGCGTAAATGTGTGCGGCGAAATGATTTAATTAGCGTCTGGGTTTCTGTTCTAGTTAGTTGGCAGCTGCGGTAAGTAACTGCTAGGGATTGAGAGAGGACTTGCGCTGATCGTTGTTTTCCTTAATTTTAGTGCACCACTCTCTGTAAGGCTCGTAATAAAGTTCCGTTATATTTGGGAACCGTGTGAGTATATCAGAGAGCGTAATTGGCTTCCACCGTCGGCGAGTCTGTTGGCGAAGGAGCATAACGCTGACGACGGGTATGAGGGGAAGACCCCGCCACCACTCCATTTCGGAGTGATCTAGGTCAAAGGGACCGCCACCTATAATATCGTCAAATATAGAATTGATGGCGTCTAGATTCGTAATAGTGACTCTCTGACCGGCAGACTAGCCATGAGATGGGTTATTTACTAGGGTTGTTTGATGTTCGTGTTTATGGAGAGACGGGCACTCGCCTTGGTTAGTGTCGGGGCAGAAGCTCATGTATTTAAACCAGTGGTGGCTATCACTAGGTGAGTAGACGCTGATATTAAGGACTAAGTCACCACGAGGTTCCCACACGCTTGGTGTGGTAAATAAGCTTTGAAATGCATCTAAGATGAATTGGCAGTCAATATCATCTATAAGCCTATAAGAAAGGTCGTCGTTGGTGCCCTTACATTGACTGTAATCGTATTCCCTTAGCTCCACCTGAAACTAGATATATCGAATCTGATTTCTCTTCTGCATCATGATAGCTTGAGAGTCTGGGTCGGAAAGACGCGGTACCGTTAGGCTGATCTCGGTCAAGTTGCGCGGCTCGATGATCGATCGCTAGGCTTGGCAAACGGTCGCGAGCTGACTGCACTTCCCGCCGAGACTTGGAAGAAGACTAATGATCTCGTTTTGAATCTCGTGAGGGAGGCGTTCCTAGGAAATCCTGTCCCTGTCCATGACTGATGTAGTCTCGCGGCAGGGAGAGTTGGTGCGAGGGGTCGTAGTTGGTGTAGAGCGAGAAGCGCGTGATGATGTGTAGCTTGAAATCTAGGATATGTGTTTTGGGTGACGAAATATGTTAGTAGATGGCTGGCGGCTGCTGGCCGCTCTTTATACTTGGCCTTACGAAAATTCTGTAAACATTTAACTTTCTGGGACGCGCCGTGGAGGCGGATGCTGGCGGATTATCGAGGAGATGCAGGAGGAAACGCAGCGCAAGCCATTCCTGTCGTACTATCTAAGATACTGGTGAACCACCTTGGTAAATAAACTTGACACTTTGTAGCCACCTTATAGCCATTTACGCTGAAGGCGTCGTGGCTGACTTATAGGCGCGTAGGCGAGTGTTAGCCTTCACTGCGCCCGTCCATTCTAGACCAAACCAACAAGCCGCAGTAAGGTAAACAAATATGCTGTTTCCATATATTAGGGTTTATGCTGTGTTTATTACATAACCCAAGGGCCTAGTAACGTGTAACACGCAAGTGTGCAAAAGGGCACAGGGGAGCATGTGAGGCCATAAAGTGCCGTCCACCAGTAATGGTCTGGTTTGGCTGACCGAGCAAGCTGAAAATCAAAAGTGGATATGCAGTCGAGTGGATATCTCGGATTCACGGCCGAGAGAAACAACGAAGCAAGAATGAAGCCAAAAAACAACCACAATGGGAATCAAAGAGCTCGGGCATTGTTCCACGGAAGACGCCATCTTTTGCGGGAAGTTTTCAAGGAGGGTGTGGGGAGAGGGGGGGGGGGGGGGTGGACATGTAGAACAGGGCGAAAAAAAGGTACATGATGGGTACCGTTGCAGGGAGACTGGAGACTACCAGTATTTACCTAGAGATGCATGGCCGCATAAACAGACGCGGCGGATTGACCATGTAGGATAGTTCTCACGGGGCGGATTTTTTTCTCCGTTCCTAATCTTTATAAATCTTCCGATGATGGTCAAAGTGATTGATCACTTTGAGCGAGTTTTGCAACTTGATCTTGACCTCAGCCTGCAACTATTTTACTTGAAGCCTTGCCAAGTAAATGTATACAGGTTATTACGTGGGGAGTATCAGCTGAAACCTCGAAAGTTCCACAAGACAAAGCCCGACTCCACACCAAGAACGGACGGCCCCAGACAAGGTTGTGTGCTTGAACATTGGAAGCAAAGATTAAAAGGAACAAAAAGAGCAAAAAAAAGAGAGAAAAACTCCTCAGCAAGCGAAAGCCGACCGGCGTTGGTGGCTGCCGGCCCCCGGGTGCCTCTTTGGCCCCCACGGTCGGCGATTCGGAAATCAACGATTCCGGGAAAATTTGTACAAGAAGAAGAAGAATAACCACGAGAGAGGAGAGTAATCTAAAGTTGAAGAAGAGGGAAAAAAAAAAAAAAAGGATCTTAAGTTGAGTCCCTATTCATCAACCATTGATGCAAAATGGTAAAAGCTGGCTCTCTGCCAAATAAACCCTGTGCAGGTCAAAATCGCTCCAATTCTCATGGCCCTGTAGCACGCACACGCGCACACCAGCATGGGGGGGGGGCGCGGCCCCCCTCCCCCTTCGCTTGTGGTCAGAGGAAAGAAAGCCAAATGGCTGATTGGTCTCGGACTCGTGTGTAATAATAGTAAATGAGTACACCCTTCTTTGCCGCGATGACTGAACAAGCCCGAGCCTTGGCCCAGCATGAGGCAGGCAGGCAGGCCTTCAGTAACACACACACCCTCTCTCGCGCTATCTAGACCAATGCGGAGAAGCGTGCCTTGCCCAAATCTACTATGAATATTTGTACTTGCTTGAAGCTTTCTTCACCTCGGGGAATTTTCTTGTCGGTCTAGAGATGGTGGGAGGGGGTTCATCTATGAATCTCGCCTCTGTCTTGTTTTGCGTATACAAATCCACACTTGCATGTTCTATTCTGCAGAGCTCCGTCACAGGCTCTTGAACCTCAGTTCTCGTCCCTTTGACCCGTCAGACCTTGAACTATAGAGTGTTGGACTCGATTTTGTCTCGCTTCCTTTTTTTCTTCCTTTTTGTTTTCTGGTCTACCCTCGCTTGGCCGCGCTTCCCCCTCTTCCTTTACAAGAGAACGGCGAGCAAGCAAGCAATCAAGCAAGCAAGCCATGAGCACGCCTCAAAACCCCTTTGCCAGCCCGGGCGACAGCCGCCAGAGCTCGCGCAGCCATCTCGGCCGGCCAGACTCGTCGAGCTCGTTGCCGTGGCAGGGCTCGCCGCGACACTCGGCCGACGGCGGCAGGCCCGGCACAACTACGCCTTACACGTACAACAGCGTCGTGCACGGCGCGGGTACGCCCGTCCCGACCCAGAAGCGCAGGTTCAAGAGCTACCGCCTGCGCGAGGACTATGCCAAGCCGTGGCTAGAGGACAAGGACATGAAGAAGACGAGGTGGAACAATGTCATTGTCGGCACCATGCTCCTGCTGGGGTTTGCCGGCGCCGGTGTCGTAGTCTATTTCATGTCTAAACCATATGTCCAAAAGGATGTAAGTGAATTTCACCAACAAAAAAAGGTACAAGACCAGTTGAATGATGGACATCCAAGCTAAACAACATCTTTACCAGTACTGTCTCGTTTACGAGGACAATTTTCAAACACTCGACAAGAGCGTCTGGTCGCACGAGGTGCAGCTCGACGGCTTCGGCAACCACGCCTTTGACTGGACGACGACGGATGCGCGCAACTCGTACGTCGACGGCGACGGCCTGCACATTGTGCCGACGCTCACGACGGAGACGACCAGCATCACCGCCGACCAAATGTACGCCAACTACACGCTCAGCCTCGACGCCGACAAGTCGTGCACCGGCGCCTTCAACACGTCGGCGTGCGTGCTGCGCTCCGACCCAAAAAAGGGCCTCTTTGTGCCGCCCGTCCGCTCCGCGCGCCTCACCACAAAGGGCACCCGCAGCATCCGCTACGGCATGGTCGAGGTCGTCGCGCGCTTGCCCAAGGGTGACTGGCTCTGGCCCGCCATCTGGATGATGCCCGAGGGCGACGTCTACGGCGCGTGGCCGCGCTCCGGCGAGATTGACATTATGGAGTCGCGCGGCAACGGGCCAGAGTACAGCGAAGGAGGGCGCAACTGGTACTACGGCACGCTGCACTGGGGGCCGACGCCCAGGAGCGACGCGTACTGGAAGACGACGCTGGCGAAAAAGGTGCGCCGCGGCGCGTACTCGGACCGCCTGCACACGTTTGGCATACAGTGGACGCCGAATTACATTTATTTCTACATTGACTCCAAGATTCACCAGATTCTGTTTATTGGGTTTGAAAAAAGGGAGCCGCTGTATGAAAAGGGCGGCTTTGCGGAGCAAAAGTCGGAAAACGACACGCTGCTCGACAATCCCTGGCAAGGGTCCAACTCGACGACGGGCAGCGCGCCGTTTGACCAGCCGTTTTACCTCATACTAAACGTGGCCGTTGGCGGCACAAACGGCTTCTTTCTCGATAATGTCGGCGAGAAACCCTGGATCAATGGCGCGACCAATGCGCGCTGGTCGTTTTGGGAGGCTCGTGATAAGTGGCTGCCGACGTGGGGGGAGGGCGACCAGCGCGGCATGACGGTGCGCTCCGTCAAGATGTGGCAGTTGGGTGCTTGTGGCGCCAAGCAGGAGTTGTAGATGGTCTTTCAAGGCTTTTTCTTTTTTTTCCCCTTTTTTCCCTCTTTTTTTCCTATTGTCTAGAAAGCATCCTTTGGGAGTCACGTTGGTCATGTATAAATCTTGTTTTAATTGATTTTCTTCTTCCTTTCCTACGATATAGAACATCACTAATCTGGGAGGCAATCATGAACATTTACGACCAAAGATGGAATAACACACAATGGCATTTTTTGACAATTCGAAACTCATTACATTAAATACTTGTATACTTTTCAGTCACTTGCCCGCTGTGCATGAACCGACCATGAGCCTCCGAGCCGAGCCCCGGCTCCTGATTTCTCGGTAACAAATAATCAACACTTTGATCCACAAGGTGAGCAAAGTCCGTCTCATTACTAGCGTCGATCTAGCGGTTCGTTCAGGCCCTAGTGTACGGGACAAAGGGAATCAGAAATTGCAAATGCCATGCCGCTTGCATGAGATGCGACTTGCGCCATCAGAAACAAACCTTAATCAGCCCCTTGCCATTTCCTTGCCCATCTATGTAGCATCGCATCTAATGCTATTATCAGGAGCAATTCATGATAGATAGCGACCGAGGAACACACATGATTAGGCCGCTCGCTGCAACGAACCTGGTGGGACCTTTGTTGCCGCACCTATTTAGCGCTCTCGCTCATCACGCAAACTTGCCTCTTTGGGATTTATACCGTGAAATAATACGCGGACAGCTTTGGTGGCTGCGCTGATCGCTATGGATTACGCTTTGGTGGCTGAGATTTCGATAACAAGACGACTGCCTATAATCTTAGAAAAAACAACTTGACCGAAATGTGTCCCAATAATAATTGCGGCAATTTCGTCCCGGAGCTTGGCTGCCAGCCACGTCAGACTGCTACAGCTGCGTAGACGTCGTCAAGGGGATCCGCGGCCATGCAGCCTGCGGCATGCACGGCGCAGCATAATGCAACCCTAGACACCAGTAGATACTCTAATAAAAGCTTGCAGTAGTTGATCAAGTAACCTTTTCTGGGGGCTGAGCTATTTTACCGGCGGCCCGATGCAGGTGGCACACACAACAATGTAGATGGTTCTCACACGATATCACCTACCTGTATTTCCGCGCCCGATTCTGCTATACTAATCAGAGGTCCAGACTTCTTTGGTGCAGTGCAACCACGCGAGGAGGGTGCTTGGAATGCCACTCCCGTCAGCTTTTCAGCACCTTGATAGCGGCTGAAGATTACTCGGCTAGAATCGACTCTTTTGCACATGTGCATTGCGTGCTCCCTCCTGTGAGAAATGCCTGCCTGACTGGCCTTGCGTCCCGTACCACGTGTCGCCTGTCTCTGAGTGGCTGCGAGATGGCGAGACCATGCTCACCGAGACCGAAGCGAGAGACTCGAACCCTTGTCCATCTGAGTTACCAGCCAGACTAGTTCGAGTGGCAAGAAAAGTAATTCAAATGATTCCCGTCTTTTCGGAAAGTTGATTTGGAAATTTTGCACAACGTCGGACGATAGGGCCTGACGCGCTTCCTTCTTCGTAGAACGCCTTGGCAACTCCAAGTCTGGACCGGCTGAGAAGCGTCTTGAGCATATACAACGTCAGGGTACGGGGCAGGCAACTTGGCCGTGGCACAAGAAAACAGGAAGCTGAATGAATATTGCCAGCGCAGTCAATTCTATAGCTTACGCAAGCTGTGCACCAGCTTGTGTAGTAGTATGACCGGGTAAGGCTGCCCCGTGGCACGCGGCATGCTGGCGTTTTCTGGCGCTCAATATGCATTTCGCCCTGTCCTGCTGTGCTGCAGGATAACTACAATGCGGCCCGAGGAGGGGGGGGGGGGGGGGGCGTGCAATTGCCGGACAGGGGTCGACAGATTAGGAGTCTCGTCGTGTTGGCAATTCCTGCGTTCATAATCTGTCAGAAAGACCTCATTCTTAGTAGGGCTGCGGCCGTCGCGATCTAAAGTTGTCCCGCTTACTTTTGCCCCGACCACTTGTCGCTGAGGTTCGCATCGTGGGCTGTGCGTTGCCGGAAAGTTGAAGCCATCAGCCACTACGGCCTCATAGGTCTCATCATGAGAAAGGCGGCATGGCCGATGGAGGCAAGATGCCGGTGAGCAAGCGGTGGCGATAACGTCAGGAAGCATGGGCTGAGGCAGTTCGGGAGCTAGACTAGTTGGGGTGCAGATGCTTCGGTGCGTTGAGTTTTTCTGTTTCGGTAAGTTCTTATCTATTTGATCATCAGTTCGCAGGACGCCATCTCTATTGGTGTGTCGACATCGGCAAATAGGGTGAAACAATCATTAGCTGCGATGATTGAGGTCCGAAATTTGTAGGACTGGATACGCATTTACTTAGGTAATGGTACGGATACAAGTAATACGCGGTGGGTACCTGCTTCTACTATGCAATTCTCAGCCGACGGCCAGGTACAAGGCCGAATGGTTGCAACTTTGCCAGACTCAACCAAAACTTGGCATCCACACACACCACGGCAGAGGCAGAAGAGGCTCGACTTGACCATCAAGTGCACCACGGATAACCCTCACAAATCCACGTGCTCTGCAGCGTGAATTCAGCGACGCAGATAAACATCCACCACAGTTTTGCGCATCCATGTTGACAAATACGCCAGAAGATGATAGCAGCAAGGTGGAAGGGAATGGAGAAAAGCGCTCAAGTTGCGGCAGGCTACAGTGTTTGCTGGCCATCCGTTGAAGGTGCACAACAAGGTCAGCCTATCCGTAATCTTGAAATGATTTGAGTCCAATCTTGCAAGGCAGGAACGCAGGCGAACACGAGGCCTCGTCGCACATGGCTGTGCTGGCTCACTCTCACCTGCAAACGGCCTCTTTTGGCTGGTCGCCATGACCGCTGCACAGCTGACTATCCTGCGCTGGGTGGTTTGGATTCCTTGCTTCGGTGGCGCTGCTTCGAAAAACGGTCGTCCCGCCACAGCTTAGGGGAATCGCAAAGGGGAAATAACAGCAACGGTCGTGCTCCTGCAGGTGGTGCAGACGCCCAAGACAAGCTTCAGCCACACCATCGGATGCCGCCGATCCTGCACACCACCAAAAGACCCAAGACAAAAGAGGTGTCGCGGATTCAACAGAGATGTGCACGACTCGGAGTTTCTCTTCGCGAAGCTCACACGACATCAACGAGAAGCTCAACAGACAGCGAGATTAATCTCTTGTCTGCCGCAACGGTCCACTGTGACTTATTTCGCGTCTATTCTTTCCCTGTTTTGTCGTCCGAGCTTGTCAGGGCCAATGAACCACTGGGACAAGGAGAAGAAAAAGTCAAAATGCGCAGCGGATCTGCGTTGCAATTAACCACAGTCTGGTGGCGTTTGACTTGTCCGCGCTCAGCAGCGACGTCCACCTCCACTCACTTGCCTATTCCGCTTTCGTGCCTTTTGTATGAGACGCACGACAGTGACCATCTCAGCAGCACCTTTTGCCTGCCAGAGTGCTTGCGTCAGAGGCAACCCATCCTCGACTTTTGCCCTTTAGGACAATAGAGCGCAGAGTGCAGACAGCGGAGTCATTTACATCACTGATAGTAGGCTGCTGATGTTGGTGCGCGGGATTTTCGCTATTGCGCAACGTGCTTATCCTTGTCTCGCTAAGCCAGGCCGTGGGACGGCTCACTGGCGATATGAAGCGGCCATTGTTCGCTGCACGCTAATAAGCCGGGCCCTGTTCCTGGTTTAACCCAAATCTAGACATATCAAAGGTCATCCTACGCGCAGCTCCGGCTACATGTGGTCCCTACATGTTCAGCACGTTCTTCATCGGCCCACACAGACCTCGATCAAGCGGATCCGAGCCTGGGATGACCCTGGTTGACGCTTGTACTTGACGCATGTATTTGACTTGTACCTTCGGTTACAGAGACAAGTCTTCTACACCCCCAAAAAACCAACACCCCCCCCCCCCTTTGCCGGCACGCCACTGACAGCTTGCCCGGCGCCGATGAAGCGGCAGAACTCTTCCGCTCAGTCCTTGATGATTCTGGAGTTCCTGCGTTGCCTACTCAACTCAGTTCAGTCGCTTTTACGCCCCTCTTGGCTATATCCCCTGCACCGTAGTCTCACAAGAAAGCAGGGCGCTGCTAGTCCTTGCTCCGTTTGCTATCATTTCTGGGCACTTGAACCACACACTCTTTGCTCTCTACTCAGTGCCTTTACATATTTTCTTACCTTCCTTCATTTGCTTTTTCTAATAAAGCGTTCTGGCTGCTTTTATTAAAGCCTTTGATAGACCTGCCACATGTCCACGTAGCGACTGAAACCCGCGCTCACTGCTTGCACGCCGACTTGTCTAAAGCCGAGCATCACAGCTTTACATCAACAGACAGTCGACTTCGAGCAACGCTATACACCTGCGAGCTTCAACATAGGCAAGGAGGCGCCATAGCCTTCCTCGAATTTGCACAGCATGGGGATGTATACAACTCAGGGCAACACTCTGGCCGAACCCAACCAGCAATCACATTTCTCACACGCTTCGACGCGCTCATCAAACTCCCACAGCGATAATGACCAAAGGACGAGCCAGTCGACGCCCTCGCGGCCCCGGTACTCAGATGATTTTCGCTATCGAACGGTTAGTAGGCTCTTCAATTCAAAGATCAAACTCGACCTGCAGAGACTGACGACCTGCGCAGATGGCCACATACATCTACAACCGCATCATGGTCAGCGGCTGGATTCACCCCGATGCGGCCCATGATCCAAACAATATTCATGGCGTGCTAATTCGTCGTACTCGAGGACAATATCTTTCTGTCCCAGAGCCCGTCCACCCTGTTCTCCATGACGCGGTGAGCCGCATGAATCTAGCTGTTGCAGTCACAATTCGTCCCCGTCTGCTCGAGGGTATCATGATGACCCTGACTGAAGGTCAGACTGAGCTCCGCTTGAAAGACGGTTCTCAGCTGCAGGTCATAGACTCTCTCAACCACGCACATCCCACCACCGTCAAGAAGTATCAGTATGCCTGTATTTGCCAGCAGGAGCGCATGCTGCTCCTCTGGCATGACGACATATCGCATGTCTTGTCTCACGCGGCGCATCTCGAAGAGAAACTACTTACAATGGTATGCACCTTGAACTTGAACACGTTGAATACGTCATCCTGACTGGTTTAGATCTGGGGTTCTGGCAAAACGGTCAACACGGTGCTCTCTTCGCCCTTCCGCACCCCTTCCGTTCTCTCCGTGATGACTCCCAGCGGCAATAACACGCCAAGCAATGGCATCGATGAGAAAACTGCCTACATCACCGAGACGCCTGACGAGGCTGACGAGAACATTGCTGCCGCAAAGAAAAAAGCCATGGAGCGCCCAGAGTCGTTGAAGCGACCTGTAATGCGTACCTCTGCTGTATTCATCGGTCTCGCCATGGCCCTCACCATTGTCCTGCTCGTCGGCGTCTACATTGGTCGACTAGTCAGCGAGTGTCTCCTCGATGGGTCTTACACTCGCATGGCTCTAGTCTTTCCGATTCCTCTACTGGCCTGCGTCAGTCTCTTCTTCTTCCAGATTGTCTTTTCCGACCTTTTCCAGATTCTTGGCCCCATCGGTGGCAACACCACCAACTCGCGATTCTTTTCGTGCCATAAGCCCAGCCTGGATCGCGCCTACGCGGATGGCATGGAGCTCCCCAAAGTGACTATTCAGATGCCCGTTTATAAGGAGGGCATGGAGTCGGTCATTATCCCCACTATTCGCAGTCTACAGCAGGCCGTCTCCTTTTACGAGTCTCACGGCGGCTCCGCTACCATCTTTATCAACGACGACGGTCTGCGTGCCGGCCTCTCTGAGGCGCAGGTGCGCCAACGTCAGGACTACTACCACAACAACAACATTGGCTGGGTCGCACGCCCGCGCCACAACGGCGATGAGGGCTATGCCCGCAAGGGCAAGTTTAAGAAGGCATCCAACATGAACTTTGCCCTCAACTTTTCGCAGCGCGTCGAGGCCCGCATGCAGGAGATGATGGACACCCGGGTCGCCAACACAGGCTCGGATCTCATTGACGAGGCAGAGGAAGAAGAGATGTACAATATGGCCCTGGCACAGCTCCTTGACGAAGAGCCTCTCGCTTGGGCCGAGGGCGACATTCGCGTCGGCGAGATTATTCTTCTCGTTGACTCTGATACTCGTGTGCCCATTGACTGTCTCCTCTACGGTGCCGCCGAGATGTACCTCTCCCCCGAGGTCGCCATTGTGCAGCACTCGACCGGCGTCATGCAGGTCACCCGCGACTACTTTGAGAATGGCATCACCTACTTCACCAACCTCGTCTACTCGTCCATCCGCTTCTCCATCGGCGCCGGCGAGGTCGCGCCCTTTGTTGGCCACAACGCTTTTCTTCGTTGGCGCGCTGTCCAGGACGTCGGCCGCTCGGAGCAGGACGGCGCCTACACGGCCTACTGGTCCGAGAGCCACGTGTCCGAGGACTTTGACATTGCCCTGCGTCTGCAGATGAAGGGCAGCGTCATCCGCATCGCCTCGTACCACAACGACGAGTTCAAGGAGGGCGTGTCGCTGACCATTTACGACGAAATCATGCGCTGGCAAAAGTACGCCTATGGTGTTTCGGAGATGATCTTTCACCCCCTCCACCGCTGGATCTACCGCGGGCCCTTTACCCCCCTCTTCTACACGTTCCTCTTCTCCAACATTATGTGGTCGTCCAAAATCTCCATCATGTCGTACATGTGCTCGTACTTTGCCCTCGGCTCCGCCCTCCTCCTCACCTGTCTCAACTACTTCCTCATCGGTTGGATCCGCAATGAGCTCGCCACCGCGTACCTGACATCGTGGAATGTGTTTCTCTCCCTCATTGTCGTCTTCAACGGCGCGGGTCCCATTGCCCTCGCCGTCTTGCGCTACCGCACCGGCGAGCGCGGGCTCATTGGCGCCCTCGTCGAAAACTACAAGTGGATGCCGCTCATGACGTGCTTCTTTGGCGGCATCTCGTACCACATCACGGTCGCGCTGCTCGCGCACCTCTTTCACGTCGACATGCAGTGGGGGTCCACGTCCAAGGAAAAGGTCGACTCCAACTTCTTCCAGGAGGTGCCGCGCATCTTCAAGACGTTTTGGACAATGTACGTCTTCATCACCCTCATGGTCGGCGCCATGATTTACCTCGGCGTCTTTGCGCCCCCCGACTGGGCCATTACCGACTTTTCGGCCATTGTGCCTCTGGCTCTGAACTTGTCCTTTCATGCGCTGGTGCCGTTTGTGCTGAACCCTAGTCTGATGGTCTTTGCCTATTAAGGAGGCTTTTGAATGATAGAGGAAGAGAGAAGGGATGCGCAGCTTCAGAGGGAGTATAAGTAATGGGAATGACTCTCAGTATAGACTCTTTTTCTTGTTATGGGTAATATCACAGAGGGGCTGGGTTATCATACCTGGCGTACGGCAATGCATTTGGAGCGGAAAATCTTTAGTCTGATAGCTTTGGCTGCTCGTGCTAAGCATACGTGCCACGACAGACGACAACCACAGAGTCGAAGTCATGAAATATATAAATTGACCTAAAAGTATAAACTAGATGCTTATAAATGTGCCACCTCATCCATTTCACGCCCCAGCATGCCTAAAATGCGCCAGAAAAAAAAAACGATGACCATGTAAAAAAGGAATTCATCACGCGTTTCTCTTCTATAAATCCTGACGGAACAGTCGTCAAAGACTAGTCGTCATCCAAGTTGAGTCCGCGGTGCTGCTTCTTGCCCTTGCCGTGGCTCATGCCGCCCTTGAAATGCTTCTTACTGCCCGCCTTGGCCAGCTCCTTGGGGTCCAGCCCATTTTCCAGAGCGTACGCCGTGCGCGCCTTGCGGCCCGTCAAGGCCTTGCCCGACTCAAGGGCACCCTGCTCCGTGTACTTGTAATTGAACGGCTGGGAGATGTGGCCGCCGACGCTCTTGGCGGCGAAGAAGCCCTTGTCGAGCTTTTGCGTCTTGAGTCCTGACGCGGGTGCCAGCGACACCACATCCGAGGCGCCAGCCGCTGTCGACGCCGCATCATCAGGCACGTCATCGGCCATGGAGAGGCCGTCGAGGGCGGACGCGAGCGCGATGCGGCGCTTCTCGGGCAGGTGCATCTCGTCGTAGAGCTCGCGGTTGAAGGCGGCTTCATCGTCGACGCCCGGAGGCGGGGAGACGAAGAGCAGCTTGCCGTTGACGTAGTCCTTGAGGATGTAGCGGGCGGCGCGGGACTGGTCGGGCTGGCCGAGGCCGGACGTCTTGAAGCCGCGGGCCGCAGCGTAGGCGCGGAGCAGCTCCTCGGCGGTGGCGACACCGGTGCCACCCTCGTCGATGGGGCGAATCTTGATGGTGATGCCGTAGACGGCCTCAAGGAAGCGGCGCGGCACGCGCTTCGTGACGAGCCCGACGGGGCCTGTGAACTCGCGCAGTTGGTCGATGGGCAGGACGCCGTTGCACACCAAGTCCGCCTTGGTCGACGCAAAATTGGGGAACACAAGACCGGGACAATCACACAGGATGACACGGTCCGAGAGGTGTATTGTCTGGAAGTGCTTGGTCTTGCCGGGCGTGGACGACACGGAGACCTTGGTTGCGCCGATAAGGGCGTTGATGGTGGAGGATTTGCCGACGTTGGGGTAGCCGACGAGGCCGACTTGCAGCTTGTGGTCCGGACCAGCGTCCGTCGGCTTGTAACGCAGGAAGATTTCCTCGAGCTGGTCCACGGTCAAAATCTCCGTGTCGTCAGTTTCCACAGTCGCGCCACCCTCCTGACCCGGCTGCTTGGATAGTAGTTCTTCAGCTGTCTCGGCGCGCTGCTTGCCAGCAATCTTCTGCGTCTCTGCCTCTTCCTCACTGTCCTGTTCCTCCTCTTCTCTTTCACGAGCCTCATTCATCTCTTTCGCGAGAGACGCAGAGAAGAATCTGAAAGCAATGCCCGCCTGTTTCAAGTGCTTGGCCCAAGCGTGGCGCTGCTTCTGTGTCATCATATCGGCCTTGTTAATGAGAAGCAAGTTTTCTTTCTTGGAGTCGACATCCTTGACGTAATTCTCCAAATCCTCAGATCGAAAAAGCAGAGGATTACGGGCGTCAACAATTTGTACAATAAGATCGGACCGCTCGATAACACGCCATAATTGTCTCCAAACCTCCAAGTTTCTCTCAAACGGCGTCATCAAGAGATCATTATTTTCTTGTAGCTCGGCCAGGCCTCGTCTCCAGTCAAGGAATGAGTTTCGCTCTTGGAGATCCAGCTGCTGTGGTGTAGTCGATGAGTCCCACTTTGGTCGTCGGGGAACCGTCAGTCTATCCCTGTGCTGCTTGTGCTTGCCCAGGACAGCGCGCTCTTCGGTCGCGGACAGAAGATATGGGTTCTTTTGATCGGTATGGATGATCTTGACGTTGTTGACTTTTTCGGCGGTAAAGTCGGTGCCAGCCAACTCGGCAGTCGACAGAAACTCATCCATAGCGCTCTGCTCCGTGACGGAGCGCATCTTGACCCAGGCGGCATCCTGCTTCTCGTTGACGAGATACTGCTCGCCAGTGGCGTGGTGCGTTCGTGCAACGGCCGCGCCCTTTTTTCTGTCGGCGCCCTTGCCCTTGCCGAAGCGATCGTTCATCAAGGCATTGCCCAACCCCACACTCTGCTTCGACTTGGCCAAAACCATCTTGGGCGGTTCGTCCGGAAGATGACGTATTTTCAAATGGAAACCCAGTCGTATCAACAGGAGAACAGACCTTTTGGAAAGACGGACGTTGTATCTGGGAAAGTTGCTTATGTCAAGAGCAAGGCGGTGGTGGACTGGCTGAATAATTAGAGTCGTGGAGGGGCAAATTTTCTACGATAGCGGGGCAATTTTACTATTCGTACTGTTCTTCGCAGAATTTTACGAGGGGCCAACACAGTGCTATCGGACTACAGCACTGTAAGTCGAGCTGTAAATTTTGTCCGTCACCTTGTTGGATTTGGTGCGTCGTTCTTCTCCAACGCTACATAATAAATATACCCAGTCCAAAATGCCCAAGGGAAAGTGGATGTGAGTCGCGTGCGCAGATTTGGAACACTCACACATGTTTAACGATTTTCTAGTGACAAAAAGAGTGCCCAGCACTTTACGCTGGTGCATCGCCCACAAAATGATCCCCTCATCTACGACGAGAATGCGCCGTCGATGGTGCTGAACCCAACTGAAGGCAGCAAGAATGCAGGCAAGGCAAAGAATCTCGGGGATCTGGCCTCTGAGCTTGGTTCCGACGCCGAACACATTCGTGCCAACGAGGGCGAGGCTGCCAACTACGGTGTCTACTATGACGATTCCGAGTACGATTACATGCAACATTTGCGCGACCTAAATACTGGAGGTGGCAATGTCGTTTTCGTCGAGGCCAAGACAACGGGAAATGCTGGCAAGGGCAAACAGACGCAGTCTCTGGAGGAAGCGCTGAAAAAAATGGACTTGGAGCACAAGGCACAGGAAGTCATAGGCCCGGATATGCTGCCGTCAAAAGACCTACCGCGCATGACATACGATCAGCAGCAGGATGTTCCAGACGCCATTGCTGGATTCCAACCAGATATGGACCCCAGATTGCGGGAAGTGCTGGAGGCTCTGGAGGATGACGCCTATATTGACGAGGAGGATGCCGGAATCTTCGAACAACTAGCCAATGACGGATACGAGATTGACGAGCATGAGTTTGAGGATAACCAGTTTGATGATGATGAGGGGTGGGAGTCTGATGATACCGCAAAGCCCAACAAGGAATACAAGGACGGCGAGGTACCAGAGCTAGTAGCGGTCCAAGAAGAGCCCGAGCAAGGCCCCTCACAAGACTGGCTGGAAGATTTCAAAAAGTTCAAGAAGGAACAAAAATCAGGTGGTCCGCCCAAAGCTGCGGGCGCACCCTCTCAGTCCGAGCTGCAGTCCACATGGACCACAACCACAAATGGTGGCCGCAGAAAGAAGAGAAAGGGCGCGCTAACTGTTGCGTCTGGGTTTTCCATGTCGTCTTCTTCGCTAGTGCGAACAGAGCAGCTGTCTTTCCTCGATGCGCGTTTCGACAAGATTGAAGAAAAGTACAACGAGGACCTCGACGACATGGGCTCAGTGTCAGCCATTTCAACAGCGTCGAGTGTCACAGGCCCGATTCGCGGCGACTTTGACGGCATCATGGACGAGTTTCTTGGCAGTTATGGCGGCAAGCCCGGCAAGAGAACATCTAAGAAGTCTAAGGCACAGACTGGTCTGGAGCAGCTGGAGGAGATACGCAGAGAGCTAGGCCCTCCACGAATAAAGGGAAGGCAGTAAACTAGATGCACGCCTTCAAATGACTACTTACGACACAACACAAGACCCGCACAAACAAAGAATAATCTCAGTAGATTGACTCACGGCCGGACTAGTAACACACGAAATCGATATATTGATTTCTCAAACTGTTTGCGCATGAGGTACGACGTACCACGACTCAAAGTTGAGCGTCACGTGAGACTCTGGCCGAGCTCATATATCAGTGGGCTGACTCTAGATGTTTTTAGTGGGTAGCTTTTGGCGCCTCCATTTACCGCGATCAACCATCTCGAATGCCTAGTCATCGCGTGCGAATACAATAACAGGACCTTTGGAATCCCCTCTCCATGTGCAGGCGACTGCGTAGGTGAATGCGACGCCGGCTGCATCGTCGGTCAAATGTTTTCGCCTTTTGACACGTCGACGCAGAGCTCGACCCCAGCCGCCTCTAACCCGTTCGCGCAAAAGGCGAATCCCTTTGCCCAGGATGGCAGCGGCGCGTCTACTACATTTGGGGCGAAACCCAATGCTCCCAACCCATTTGTTCAAACTACGACGAGTTCTAGCAACGTGAATGGCGCGCCGAACCCCTTTGCTCCCCCGACATTAGCGACAGCTGTCGACCACGGCAAACAGTCGTCAAAGCCACTATGGGAGAAGCAAACAAATGGACCACAGCCTTCTTTCGGTCAATTTGTCGGAAAGTCGACAAGTTCCGCAAAAACCAACTCGCGCCTGTCATCAACACCTGCGTCGGCTTTTTCGAGTGCACAAAAGGGAATCGGGATGCTACCCAGCTCCAATGATCCCCATGCGAAAAAGATTTACGAACAGCTGCGTGAGGATAGCATCGCACCGCCAGCATGGCCTTCGCAGCCTGGTGATCCCCAGCACAAGGCGCAAATGGCTAAATTCCGCGAACAATATGAGGACTACAGAAGCAAAGTCCGAGCTTCTCTCACCCGCGCCGGATTGATCGACGACCCTACGAAACGAAAGAAGCTCTCAGATGCAATTGACTTCAAAGGCATCTGTGAAGATATGTGCCCGGAGTACGAAAAAATCACAAGAATCACAGAGCACGATATCCCCACGCCGGAGAAGGACCCGCAAACGACATTTGCCAGCACGACACGGATGGTAAAGAAGCTGGCACGATCTGCTGCCGGCCAAGAAGCACCTCTACCGATGGATGTGTTGTCTGTACCGACTCTACGGAAAACACTCAATTACCTCGTGGATGACTTGTTGCGTAACGACGAAAATCTGCCGACGGTACACGGTTATCTCTGGGACCGAACACGAGCGATTCGACGGGATTTCAGCTTCTTCTCGGCCCTCAGCACCGAGGAGTTGAAAGTGCAAGCCTCTGTGCTGGAAGACATTGCACGCTTCCACGTGACAGCTCTGCACTTACTTTCTGAAAGCGGCAAAGCTCCGGAAGACTTCGTGGAGCAGCAAGAACTGGAGCAGCTGGGCAAAGCCCTTCTGACGTTGCGTGACATTTACGACGACTGCAACGCACAGGGTTCCCCTTGTGAAAATGAGGCCGAATTCCGTGCCTATCATCTGTTGTTCCGCGCCAACGATCCCAATATTCTCGAGAACGTGCAACCGAGCCTATGGGAGTTTGACATCATCAGGACGGCGGCTTCGCTGGTCGAGGCCCTTCAGAATACGACAAATTTCCACGGCCCGCTGCAAGACGGACCATCCCTCGCTGCGGGTGGTGCTCACAACGTATACTTTAGAATTGTGAAAGACAAATCAGTGTCATACACCATGGCCTGTTTTGCTGAATGCCATTTCCCGCAGCTCCGTCGCTCTATCCTACAATGCTTGCAGAAAGGTCTATCGCGACCAAGAGAAGCGTCACGCGATGTAACAGCAGCCGCCTTGAACAAACATCTACAATTCGACACGGTACAGCAAGCTATCGATTTTGCTGAGCTCCACAAGATTGATTTTCAGCCCAGCCAGCAGAACCCGGCAGATAAAAGCCTAAGCTGTGCCGTTCTTCACAACTTATCGACTTTGCCGCACCACCGACTGCAACATCAATTTTCACAGTCTCTTGTTGAGGACAAGCGCGGCTCCCGAACTCTGCCCGAAGTGATACACAAGACCGTTTTCCAAGATGCTGCTACTTTTGGGCACAAGGAAGCTTCACTCGCCCAGGAAGGTAGTCTTTTTGTACAAGATGAATCTTCTAAGGCACCGTCGAGTATGCCCCATCCACCCCCGAGAAACCCCTTTGGTGGCTTTGGTCAATCACCCACGAACGGGGCCACGACGATCGACCCCTCGACAAAAGGTTTGGACACCACCAGACCTCGTAAACCTTCAAAAAGCTAACGAAACTCAGCATCTGATGCAGCTACTCAGGCCACGCCAAGCTTCTTTCCGCAAGGAGCAAAGCCTCAAGTAACTGCGCGACGTTCAGCACCGGACTTTCAATTCGAGCATGCTGAGACAACCACTCCTACACCAAGCCTCGGAGGCACCCAGCCCAGTAATCCATTTGCCAAAGCTTTGCCTTCTGTGACAGAGGTCGTGTCTAGTGCGGCGGCAGCGAAGGAGAACTTTACCTCTCAGACCGATGACAAACAAACTGTTCCAGTGACGACAGACGACACCAGTGCAAAGATCACTTCCGGCTCCATTGGCGTCCAGCAGGTCGGGCCAGAGCTTTCGTCTGCGACCTCTTCTACAACGCCGCAGAAAGTATTCTCTAACTTTGCTGGTTTCAAGCCGATGTCGAAAGAGCCTGCGGCCGTGATTTCTTCTACGCAACCGCAGAATGCTTCATCTGCTTTCTCCGGCTTCTCATCGCAACCGCAACCGGTAAAACCAGTTGAAGCAGCAAAGAGTTCAACCCCACCAGGCTCGCCCGTCCAAGCGGGTACTCTGAGCACACAATCTGCATTCACAAAGCTGCCTAAACAGCCAGAAGCGACAGAACCACCGAGCAAGCCAAACTCAGTACTCCATTCATTCACACCCCCATCAAATCCTCCGGTATTTCTAGGTAGCACAGTCCCGCCTAGGATAGCACCTCCTGTTGCAAGCCCCCCTGTGCAGACGTCACCTCCTCCACAGCCCAAACGTGATAGATTATTGGACTTTACCAGGTGGTTTGTGGAAGGTGACGATGGACTATTGACCGATTTCCAGCAGCATTTCTTGGATGGACTATTGGCGCCAATCTTTCTGGACTGGCAGAAAAAAGAGGCGGAAAGGCGCAGACGCGAGGAGGAATTGCGGAATAATGCCATCGCAGATGACTTTCGGCAGCGTTCCTTGTCCGTGAAGTACTTCTACCGGTGGAAGACTCAGGCAAGAGAAAAGCGACTCAAATTTCTGCGACGCAGTGGGCGCGACCAGCTTAGGGAATTTTACCGGGCTCAGCAAAAGGCTTCACGCATGCCAGTGGCCACAACGAAGCGGAAACTCGAGATTGCGCCCGTATCTCAACCGAATCGTGAGCAGGCCCTTATGGAGGGCCTTCGCCGAAGCCAAACCAAAAAACGCCACATCCCACCTACGGCCCCGTCCTCCACTGTGGATGTTATAAAATCGAGGGACTCTGCCGCGGCCATTGGGCGCCACTTCAACCTGCCCATGTCCCAGAGCGGCACATCTTCTCCATCGCGGTCACGATCAAGCTCCGTGTCGAAGGGTGGCTCCAAGACCAGAGCCTTGCGAGAAGAGCTCCTCGGTACGGGTACAGGACGTTTCCGCCGCTCGCTGCCCTCGATTGCCTCTAGTGAAGAATCGAGGTCAGAGAACACGCGAAGCAGCAAAGTCTCGGAGCGATGGCGACTCAAAGCTATGGGCATCGTCCAGCTCCCTGACGGGACCGCCGTGCCGGAGAGCCTCATGCACGATCGCCGATTTAATACCTACGGCCGGCTGTCGCAGAGAGCTTCCTCGATTACCAGTGTGCCTTCCCGACGGCCATCGGTTAACGGTTTGTCGGCGCCGCCCCCGTTCTCAAGCACTAGACGCGACGCAACCCCGCCAGCCGTTTTTGAGGACACGGCCAGCAACAAGAGGAAGCGGGCGAGCGAGGATAGCACAGGGTCGGTGGAGCCGGACGACGATGGCCCGGTGTCAAACGGGCACAAGCGCGTCATGAGCGACGCCAAGGATCTGGTCAAGGAGTTGAGAATGCTGCGAGAAGAAATGGAGGAAGGCACGCTGTGGTTTAGATCACAGAACGAGCGCCTACACACCGAAATCTCGAGCAGAGAAGGAACTCCACTTGGTGACTACATTTGACGTGGCGGCCAGTCGTCCTGTTGATACGCGACGTTGGCTGTCAGTCTTCCTGCCGCTGGATATTCGTGCTCGCTTGGATTGCTGTGGTGAAAGTTGGCGCCTTTTTTGCCTTTTGGTTTTGGCGGCTTGTCGATGTTGGACAGAGGGAAAGGTTTTTTTCTTAACACGGGAAGCATATATACCCACGGATATGGAATGACGTTTCGGCACACGGAAAGGCTCGCTCGTGTTACATTGTGTCTGGTGTGCCAGAGGGATCGAGATTGACTTGTGGGAAACGGTCAGAAATGGATTGAAAGGAAAGAAATGGATGAGATATCTGCAAATACCATGAATCAAACACTTTTGTATATAAGCGCGACGATCAATGCATTTTAGGGGGTGGGCGAGGACTAGGTGGCGGTGATGAGGGATAATACCACAATTTTTATGACTCGGCATCTTAAGACACCACCCGCTACGACTTGTATTCTGTGCAAGTGATCGTTGATTGCACTAGAACTGCGCGAGTAGCTTGACCAAAACGCTGATCAAGGCTTGCGGACTGTTCAAAAGCGAAGACGGCACGGCTGGGCCAGAAAACTGATTAGAGCAGGTAGGTTTTAGTGGTACAAGCTCAGGGAGTACTAACACGACACGCGGGACGTACATGCATGGTTCTCAAACTTACCCATCATACCTGTTACATTCTTTCAGTGTGCTGCCGAATCCTTTTGCAACTTTTAGCCTCTCAAGGCTGCCCACCGGCTTTTGGTGACTGACGACTCATAATCGATCCCCAGTCGAGATATCTGTGTTTGGTGGGAGGCAATCTTTGAGAAGAGGTGGATTCTCCTACTTCCAGCTGATCAGCAGACGCAAAAAAGGCTCGCTTGAATGTTTTGAGATGTCAAGGCAAAACATTCCGCATCGAGATATCTTGTACGAACAACCTCAACGTTGGAATTCGAATCATACGCGGAACACTATAAATGAATTGGATGGCAGCTTGGAGTTGTCGATGCCGACCCACAGCAATACCGGGAGCGACATTCCCCTTAAATAGATATCGAGCGCGGATCTTCCCCTGAATTTTTTCCTCCTAGTGCGTTTAGTTACTAGTGCGAGTAGGACTCCATTCGCACAGTAACAGCACTATCTAGACCCGATTGATAGCCAATGTACAGTGCGAAGACTGTGCATGTACCTGCACTCCGCCCCCATTGGCCAAGACCTTGCACTTCCACGTCCTGACTTGTGCCAATCCCTGGCCTAGGATTTGTTCGTAAGTCTTCACTTCTTCCTCCTCCAACTCGTTTTGTATTTTATTCGCTCTCTACCTGCCGCTTTTCTTCAACACCATTTTGTTTGCCTTGTTTGCGCCTCGCTTGTGTGAGTGCGCATCTCGTTGAGCAAGATAACTTCTCGTCGCACGAGTCGAGGTGCCAAAAGCCTGATGCAGGGCATCTTGACACCACCAGAGTTCAGCTCCGCCAAACGCTCCGACGACCCCCACGAGAAGCCCGGTCGCTACCAACCCAAGTCCCGGAAGACGGGCTTTCTTGCCAAGATGAAGGAATCGTGGGCGTCCCAATCGCAAAGGACGCGGTACTTAAAGACGACCGCCATCGTTTTTGCCATCATCTGCCTGTTTTACTGGCTGTCGCCGTCTGGCATCGCCGTTCAACCTTCAGGTCCGTCTACTCCTTCACGACGGGGTTTATCGCATTGCTGACCAGAACAAGCCTCTCAGAAACCTAACCCCGAGCCCGTTGGCTTGACTACTGGCGTCAACACCCCCGCCGCTGAGAAACCCGCCGAGAAGCCTGTTGTAAACACTCCGAACCAGGACTCCTCCAAGGAGCCCCCCAAGCCTACCGCCGGATCCGACTCGTCCTTGAGCAGCGATGCCACCAAGGCTCCCGCGGCCGGCAGTGACAGCGCCGGAACCCACGACTCCAGTGACCCCGCCTACTCGACCACGAAGTGCTCAAAACCGTACAGCAAGGACAAGCCGCTCGTGCAATATGTCCTTATGATTGATGCCGGCAGTACTGGCTCCCGCATCCACGTTTACAAGTTTAACAACTGCGGTGCTATGCCCGAGCTCGAGAGCGAAGAATTCAAGATGACCGAGAAGGGCGTCGGCGGCCTCAGCGCATATAAGGACGACCCTGTCGCTGCCGCCAAGAGCCTGGACCCCCTCATGAAGGTTGCCATGGAGCATGTCCCCGAGAAGCTCAAGGGCTGCACCCCCGTCGCCGTCAAGGCCACGGCTGGTCTGCGCCGCGTTGGCACCGAAAAAGCGGACGCGATCCTGAAGCAGGTCCGCACCCACCTCGAGACTGACTACCCCTTCCCCGTCGTTTCCGCCGAGAAGAACGGCGTTGCTGTCATGGACGGCTCTGACGAGGGTGTCTACGCTTGGATCACCACCAACTATCTCTTGGGCAAGATTGGCACTGAGGAAAAGGGCGAGACTGCCGCCATCTTCGATCTCGGTGGTGGCTCTACCCAGATTGTCTTTGAGCCCGTCTACAAGAGCGTCGATGGTGCCGCTGCCGAGAAGCTTGCCGAGGGTGATCACAAGTACGAGCTCAACTACGGCGGTCACAAGTTCGAGCTGTACCAGCACTCGCACCTCAACTTTGGTCTCATGGCTGCCCGCGAGGGTATCCATCGGGCTTTGATTGAGCAGCTCGCCAAGAGCAAGGGCTCCGATAAGTCGTGGCTGTCCGAGAGCATTGTCCACCCCTGCATTCTCCCCGGCTTCGAGCGCCAGGTTAACGTGACGCTCGGCGACGACAAGGAGCAGCACGAAGTCACCTTCAAGGGCCCCAGCGAGCCCTCATCGGCGCAATGCCGCAGCCTCGCCGAGAAGCTGCTCAACAAGGACGCGGCGTGTAAGTTGGGCCCCTGCTCGTTCAATGGCGTGCACCAACCCGCGCTAGCCAAGACGTTTGCCAAGCAGGAGATTCTTGTCTTCTCCTTCTTCTATGACCGCATGGAGCCGCTCGGCATGCCCGAGTCGTTTACGCTCCGCGAGATGCACGACCTTACGCACGCGGTCTGCCAGGGCAAAAAGGGCTGGAGTGCGTTTGAGAGCAACCCTAGGGCTATGGAGGAGCTCGGTGACCGCCCGGAGTACTGCCTCGACCTCAACTTTATGCTCGCGCTGCTCCACACCGGCTACGACATGCCCATCGACCGCGAGATCAAGATTGCCAAGAAGATTGACGGCAATGAGCTCGGATGGTGCCTAGGTGCCAGCTTGCCGCTGCTCGAGGCTAACTCGGGCTGGAAATGCCAGGTCACTAAAATTGCATAAATTTTTCACTTTGCATGGGAGTTTCTCTGTGCTGTTTCATGCAGTTTCTTTATCTTGCTCGGCGTTTTTGATATTCGAAAAAGCGGTGATCGATGGTTAAGTTATACAGATGTAGAAAATGACGTTGCTACGAAAGTTTGATGGATGAATGGCAGCTGGATGGATCATCGCTCTTGAAAAGGGTGGGCTTTACTTGTAATTGCATTTGCGTTTGTTGCTACGGTAGACATATTAATCAAGACTCACATTCGGCCTGTCAACTGGGCATGCCGATGTACTATTGTTGAAGGTCTTTTTATACAGGTGCTGTCACCATGGTCATGACCTCGTCGAGGACCTCTTCCGGGCCTATATCCTGTAAGAGAGCCTCGACCGCCTCGAGCCTGCTCCCCCACTGCATGCTCCTCTCCTTGTGCGGCTCGGTGATGCGGATGCGATGTAGATAGACCTTGCGAGCCGCGAGGCCGACGAGTGCAGGCGTGACAAAGTCGAGCCTGTGCAAGGGCGCAAGATTACGCATGAGCTGGCCAAAGTGCTTGGTAGCGGCGGGCGTGATGCCCTGATCGACGGCGCGGTGCATGCGTAGAAACGAAACAATGTTCATCTGGTACCGCAAAATGTCAACGTCGACCTTGACCTTTTGGCCCTTTTCTCGGAGACAAATGATGTCCTGTAGTAGTTGTTCGTCAGCACATGTCACTTCCGACTCGGCGCCGCTGCAGCTTACGTCTTTGGAGATGAGAGCGGGAGCTGGCGAAGGCCGCTGCGCACGCGCCCTCTTGATAATGCTCCCCGTCGAGGCGGAGTCATCGTCTGGAGATGCGTCGTCTTGCTGCTGCTCCTCCTCGAGGTTGACGAAGCCGTGCTCGGGGTCGTGCCAGTGCGCCATGGCTAGGAAGTCGTTGAGGTGCGGCGTGACGCGGGCGCGGCCGCCGCTTGGGGCCTCGAGGACGGGTATCAAGACGAACTGTTTGGGCGCGACCTGCACGGTGGTGCGGGTGAAGAGGCGGCGTGTGCGCAGGAGCTCGAGGACCTGGATCTGGACGGCGTGCGGGGCGCGGTCGAGGTTGCGGGCGAGGACAAAGTTGGCAATGTGCGGGTTGGCGGTGCCGCCGCCGGGGGTGGTAGCCAGGGCCGGGCCTGCAGACGGGATCTTGCCGGTTCGTGCATGAGAGGTGAAGTAAGAGCCGGAAGGCTTGGAGGTGCCATGGTGGTCGGGAGGCGGCGAAGAGGTCGAGAGGAGGGACGAGGCAAGGTCCTCTAGGGTGGTGGAGGGGGAGCAGTCAATGACGGCCCATTCGAGGCCAAATGTTTTGGTGGCAATCTGTTTTGAGAACGTCAGTTTCTATCCATTGTTTTCTTCCCGTGATCGGCCAGAGCAATGGGATTGAATCTCGCAGTGCGTACCAGTTGAAGCTCTAGCATCAAGCTGTCAATCGCACTGGCTGGAGTGCTTATCAGACAGTGCTCGCGGCTGATAAGGCATAGTAGGACGGCAAGCTCGAGATCGCTCAGGTCATGAACTTTGTCAATGAGGCCATTGTCTGCCATGGCCAGCGCAGAGGGGGAGAGGCCTGACCCGAGTCCATGGAGGTGGGACGTGGGAAGACGAGAGTGCAGCCACGGTGAGGTATTCAGCGAGGCGTCTTGGGTCAAAGGTTGTAAATCAGTAGCGCAGCCTGCTGTACCTTGTGGCGCAACCCACTGTAGGCTGTGACGTAACCCGCTATAGGACAGCACTCTTTAGCATGTTTTGGTGTGCTACGGCGAGCTTGAACCATCACGTGTGGCGTTTTAGTAGCTGGTGTAGTGCCTGGTGACGAGACAAGCCAGCACCATTCTGACCTGCGCCAGCCTTTAAACTTACTCAGTTTAGTTGACGGTTGATGGATGCATCCGGTTCCAGGTCCTGTTTTATTATATTATTAGCGCCGCTGAAGCCTGCCCACATATCCGCACCCACCCGTCATCCTGCGACCATTTGCTAAACTAAACCATCTGGGTCCCTCTGCCTAATCATTGTCCTTCATCACCACCTGCAGCTTTGCGACGCACAATTTCCCCTCGCAGGCGTGTGATCCGTATCCCTGAACCTATCGACAACCGAACCCCCTTTTTTCCCTGACGAACAGATTCGAGAACAAGAGTACAAGCCACGCGACCGCTCACCGACAACGTCTTCACGACTGGGCTCTCCTTCTGGCAACGCATCACGTCATTGACAACGCACCAAGCGACTATAAAACCTAACAGCCACCCAAGATGTCTTCACGCAAGAAGGTGCTCCTCAAGGTGCGACGAGGTCCACGCGAGGCTGATGACAGATTTGGCCGAGAGCTGGGGGAGGAGATCGCAATACTGACTGGTCGTGTTTAGGTTATCATCCTTGGCGATAGCGGTGTCGGCAAGACTAGTCTGATGAAGCAATATGTACGGATATACGCTCAACACTGATAATAAAGTACGCCCGCGGGAATGAGGCTAACGCGGCCTACGTGTCACAGGTCGACAAGGAGTTTAGCGCCAGCTACAAGGCCACGATTGGTGCTGACTTTTCGACAAAGGAAGTTTTGGTGGACGATAGACAAGTCACCATGCAGGTACGATAGCAATGATACTGCTTCTAGCAAGGCGGGTCGTGAGGGCACGCGGGCTAACGTGTGGTAGCTGTGGGATACGGCCGGCCAAGAACGCTTCCAGTCGCTGGGCGTTGCCTTTTACCGCGGCGCCGACTGCTGCGTCCTCGTCTACGACGTCAACAACGCAAAGAGCTTTGAAGCTCTCGACAGCTGGCGAGATGAATTCTTGATCCAGGCCTCGCCCCGCGATCCTCCCAACTTTCCTTTTGTAGGTGGCCCCGACGGGCTCTGCCGCGCTAGAGGATGGAAGGCTAATCTGTGGTATGCAGGTTGTCATTGGCAACAAGATTGATGTCGACGAGAGCAAGCGAGTGGTGAGTAGTAGCTCTGCAGCGCGTGCACGGAGCTGTGTTGCTGACTTGTGTGTGCAGATTTCCAACAAGCGCGCCATGACCTTTTGCCAATCCAAGGGCGACATTCCCTACTTTGAGACGAGTGCCAAGGAGGCCATCAATGTCGACCAGGCTTTCGAAGGTAAGTAGGCCATTTGATCTGAGACGTTTGGCAATCGTGGCAGGAAGAGAGTGCATACTGACATGACATAGTCATTGCCCGCAACGCCCTCGCGCAGGAAGAGTCGGAAGAATTCAGCGGCGACTTTGACGACCCTATCAACATTCACATTGAAAACGACCGCGACGGCTGTGCCTGTTAATATGTATGCCTGCTGGTTTTTTTTCCTGTTAGAAAGGGTTGCCTTGTTCATGTGCTGGATTGCGAAATAGACTGCCGTTGGAGATGAGATGGTGTCTGTAGGACAGGTGGAGGGGGGGAAGGTGTTATACCCCGTCGCCAGGTTTGAGTCTTCGCGTCTTCCTTATTTATTATGTAGCATATCTCGAACCGGGAGTATTGATTTTACCTGATTTCACTTGCGGAACACAATTGTTGATGGTTCATGTAAGGTGGAGGCGGGCACGCGACTGTGGTTGTGTTTGTGAATGGTGCAACTTGTGGGCTGATTTCGGATGTGAGGCGTAACAAGCTGTGAAAACCAGGCCACTTCACGATAATAAATGAATCACTAGAGCCAAGTAAAGCAATCGAGGCCAGGTGTGAGCGTTTCAGTACATGGACCGAGGTGGCTGTCGCGTAACCGAGGGGCCGTAAAAAGTCCATGGAGTCAAGCTCTCACGGCGAATGACCCCATTGCTCAGCGGAGACAAGCCCAGGATTTTTATGCTGCCACTACAGACCAGACGAACGAACATAGATAAAATAGCCCGCATCAATTAATGTCAAGACGGCAACGGACTTTTTTCATGGGCTCCTCTTGAACATCGACAGCTCGCAAGCTACCCCCCCTCTGTAATGCACGGCATCCACTGCCCGGCCGAGGCTGGGGCCGGCTCCGCTAGGCTAGCTAATCAGGTTGCGCCAAAGCTTCCCCAGAGCCTCGGCTCCGCTGCGATCGGTCGTTTTGTGTCGAAACTCCGGTTCTTCCTTCTCTCTACCTGTCCATCCCCTCTCTCATCTCTTCCTTCACTCACGCCACTCATCAGCAGTGACAGGTTTCCATTCCTGGCTTTAATCTCCCTTTTTCGACCCCCAAGAATCACCTTCTAGTCTGATAATTCCTCCACAGAAACTGGGCTAGTCTCGTATTTCAACTCGCCGTCCCTTCCCCGCGCCAATAAACCCCGTTCCATCTTTTCATCTGTCCTTCCCCAACCCAGACTCTGTCTTATAATCGTGGTCGCTATTCATCTTCTTCTTTCGACAAGTGAACAAGGAAAGAACAAGATCACACATACATATCTCAATATACTCGAATGCTCGAAAACGATTCCTTTCTTTCGTCACCGGTTACCAGTCTCATCATGTCGCACAAGATTCCTGCCATTGTATGGCCCCCCATTCCATGTGCCTGATCCCAATCTTGAAGCGGACTGACACACTCCAGGTCTCCCATCTGGTGAGCGACCGGGCCAAGAAGACGATTGACATTGTCGCCAAGTTTGTCGAAGAAGAGTGCATCCCGTAAGCTCTCCGTCCCCTCCACCCTCCCTTCCGTCCCCCCTGCTGATTCCGGCTTACCCGCCCGCTCACAGCGCCGATGCCGTTCTCGAAGCCCAGATTGGCGAGGGCGACGCCCGCTGGGAGAGCGAACCCTCCGTCATCGAAGACCTCAAGGAGAAGGCGCAGAAGCTGGGCCTGTGGAACATGTTCCTGCCCAAGGGCCACTACAAGGAGTCGCCCGGCTGGACCAACCTCGAGTACGGGCTCATGGCCGAGTGGCTGGGCCGCTCGCGCAGCGCCTCCGAGGCCTGCAACTGCGCCGCCCCCGACACAGGCAATATGGAGGTGCTCGCCAAGTACGGCAACGACGCGCAGAAGAAGGAGTGGCTCGTCCCGCTGATGGCCGGCAAGATTCGTTCCGCGTTTCTCATGACGGAGCCCGATATTGCGTCGTCGGACGCGACTAATATCCAGATGGACATTCGCCGCGAGGGCAATGAATACGTGCTCAACGGCTCCAAGTGGTGGTCAAGCGGCGCGGGCGACCCCCGCTGCAAGGTTTACATTGTCATGGGCAAGACGGACGCCAAGAACAAGGACGTGTACCGCCAGCAGTCAGTCGTTCTAGTGCCGGCGGGCACACCCGGCGTCAAGATTGAGCGCATGCTCAAGGTCTACGGTTACGACGACGCGCCGCATGGCCATGGCCATATTAAATTTACCAATGTCCGCGTGCCCGTCAGCAATGTGGTCCTCGGCGAGGGTCGTGGCTTTGAGATTATCCAGGGCCGCCTGGGACCCGGCCGTATCCACCACGCCATGCGCTCCATCGGTGCTGTAAGTTATCTTGTCGTCACCTCGTCAATAAAACACACAAGCTAACCATTCAACAGTCCGAGGTTGCCCTCGACTGGATGCTGATGCGCGTCAACGACGAGCGCAAGAAGCCCTTTGGCAAGTTTCTGAGCCAGCACGGCGTCATTCTTGAGTGGATCGCCAAGTCGCGCATCGAAATCGACGCCGCGCGGCTCATTGTCCTCAACGCGGCTGTAAAGATGGACGAGCACGGCCCGAAAAAGGCGCTGACGGAAATTGCGCAGGCCAAGGTGCTGATCCCGCAGACGGCGCTGACCGTCATCGATCGCGCGGTACAGTCGTTTGGCGGCGCGGGCATCTCGCAGGACACGCCGCTGGCCGGCATGTGGGCGTACATCCGCACGCTACGCTTCGCCGACGGGCCCGACGAGGTGCATCTGCAGCAAATGGGCCGTAATGAGAACAAGCGCGGCAAGCAGGCGGCCGACAAGATCAAGTGGCAGCAGAACAAGTCGAAAGAGCTGTTGCAGCAGTACGGCGTGCAGAACAAGCAGATTGGCTCGCAGATTAAGCACTCGAAGCTTTAGGCGGGTGTCCTGTAAAAAGCCATGCTCCATCGAAAAAGAACCATGTACGTTTCGAAATTGTGCGAATGAAGAAATGGGCTCTAGGAGTAGTTACAGACTAGGCTGCGAGGTGAAATGTATCTACACTCGACTCAGCAGCAGACCATACCAAACTCTGCGATGTACAAAGTATTTGAATCAATGCAATCTCATCATCAATGCAAATTTATTAAGCGAAACAAAGAACTACAGCATGGTACGTAATACATTAGCTGGCGCTAGCTTACACAGTAACTGGCTGTACGTCGTCTGTTGTCAGGTCGGTCGCATGCTGTTGCGGAGCCCTGTGTAGCAGCATTTGTTAGGTTCATGCATTACATGTGGTTTTGGGATGTGCAGTTTGGTTTGGGGGGTACCGTTTCTGGGGTGAAGCTGGTGAGTCACGGCTATGGGCATGGTCAGTCATATGTCGGTACTTTTTGTTTGCATGATGAGCGTGCAAGTAGATTAGAGTGTTACCTGGCTAGTGGTGACATTAACCCGGCGTATAAGAGGTGTAACGAGGTACACTTTAGATAATACCTCGGATACAAGTCCTCAGCGGAGAGCCCAATCTCGGCACCTGAACAAGACAGAATGAATGCTTCCTGGCCAGTCAAGGTTTCCTGCATGATGTAGGTTCAGACGGAAACAAATGCTGCTCATCCCGTCATCTTGGCTCCCGTCCAGGGTAAACTATAACCGCATAATCAACCAATCTACTAATGACTAGGTACGAAGTAGCACTACAGCCACTCACCAACCAACCATCAAGCCCACTTGCAGCATTCCCGGCTAAGGCGCCCCATTACCGCCGTTGCCCGGCCGACTGTGCTCCAAGTTTACTTTTGCCCACCACTTTTTTTTCTTTACCTGCGGCCTCGTGCTTGTCGTCAAGAACGGTCCAAGTCCAGAGGTCCAGACCTGCCACGATTGAGACACTACATGCGCCTTGGCCGATACTTTTAACTATACGCCAACCTTTTCGTTAATTGTTGTTTTTGGATCTTGCCACACACACACACACACACACACACACACACCAGGATATAAAGTGTGTCACAGCCCGCCCGTCATCCGTTTGGACACTTCATTTTGCCATTGACCAAGAAGCATTTTCTATCCACAGTTTCCAAGAACAAAGAAGAAGGAAAGAAATTGTTGATATTTGGCATTTGAAGAACAATAAAAGTGTTTTAACGGGCAAGGACTACTTGCAAAACGGGACCCGGACCACCACCTCCACACAACGAAGAGGCCAGCCTGCATACCTACCAAACCCGACGTGTTGCCTACTTTTACCTCCCTCGCTCTGGACTTTTTCCACCTCCTTCAACCAACCATCACTTTTTGCGCAAAAAGACGTCCTTGCTACGACTCTTCTTTGCGCTCACTAAAGACTATTTACACGAATCTTTTTCTTCCTCTTCTTCTTCCTCTTTCTTTTTTCCACAATTACTCACACCAGCCATGTCTTCTCACGTTCTCGGCAACAAGGACGTCAACGCCTCCATGGAGCAGCAGCAGCAGCAGACGGCCCAGTCCAAGGATGTCAAGAGCATGGACTACCATCGCCAAGTCTTTCAGAGCAAAATGGCCCAGGAACCGTACGTCACGCGCAAGCCCGCCTCTGCGCCCTCGAGCAGACTAACCACCCCGGCCGCTACCGTCGCTGCCTCTCGTCCCGTTGTCCTCTTTCGTCCCGCGGCCGTCCTCGCCAAAAACACTGCCACTTCTTCAGATGCCTCTTCTTGTTCTGCTTCTTTCTCTTCTTCTTCTTCTTGTTCTGCTACTACTACTTCTTCTTCTTCTACTTCTTCTCTTTCTCCCGTCCCCTCGTTGATTTCCGACTCGTCTTCCTGCGCTCCCTCCCCTACGCCGTCGATTACCGCCTTGCCTCGGCTGCCCACTAACAAGAACCTGGTGGCTAGTACTCAGCAATACGTCTCGCCCTCGGACAACATCATGAGCCCCTGCTCGGCCAAGATTAACGCGCTACGCAACAAGCACGTCAGCAAGTAAGTGACAGCCGTCGGCCGGGATATTTCGGTGGCCTTTGTTTTTACTTTTCTCAATGACAATGCTAACCGCCTCGCGCTACAGAGCCAAGCCCAAATCGCTCTTTGCCCAAGCTAGCGCTAAGAAGCTCAGCGGCGAGAACCTCTTCGGCAGCAAGTCCATCCCCAAGGACTAAACTACATGCATCGAATCGAACCATAGCCAGGAGGTGGCACACTTTCATCCTGTGTACATATAGAATGCTCTTCTTTCCTTTGCGGCATTGTTCTTCTATTGGTTCTTTTTGCCTGTTGTTTCCTTGAGTTTGATGCGACGCGAAACTACATTGCTTTGACTTTTATAATCCAGTCGCCGCCCATATGATGTTTTTGCTACAACAACCAAGATGCGGTCGTTTCAGCAGGCGGCGGCGTCTGGATGCTGTTTTAGACATGGGCGTTTTATGAGTCTTTCGATTGTTTCTTTGGCAAGAAGTGCGGATGTTTGGAAAGTAATGCATGGAATCAAGGCTTCGTTGCGAGTTTGGGTTTGGTTATCAGAAGATGCGGTTTATATATTTCCTTTGTTCGTTATATGACATTGAGAACAATGCTACAGTCGCTCATCTATGGCACTAGCACGTTTGATACGCACAATCCCATGCATGAAATTTCTTTTATTGATATGCTTTTGCCTATGCTTTCCACCCGCTGACAATATACACAACGTCCTCGTCGCTGACCATGTGGCCCAAGCCCACGCGCTGCGGAATGTGCCGCGCGCTCGCGCCCCATACGAGGGCATACTTGAAGGTATCCTTCATGTTTCTGTGAATGCGGTCGCACACGTCCTCAATGGAGCTGTTGCTGCGCACGATCAAGGCCTCGCTAAAGTTGGGTTCGATACCCTTGCGCTTGGTGTAAAGGCGAATCAGGCGCAGCTCCTTCCAGCAGCGATCGACGACGTCCTGCACGCCGAGGTCCAGCTCGCAGCTCATGACGACCGTGTTTGGCTCGCGCGCCAGCGAGTCCAGAAAGTCGAGCGAGACGCTGTCAATCTTGTTGTACACGTACAGGCAGTTGATGTATTTCCGGTGGTCCTTCATGATGACGTCGATGAAGTCGTCGACGGTGGCCTCGTCGTCGCGGACGAGCACCTCGCAGTTGAGAATCTTGTAGTCGCGGAGAATATTGTACAGCATCTTTTCGTCGAGCTTCTTGGGGGGTGACTGAAATGTGATTTTCATGCCGCCTGCTTTTTTTACCTTGAGGTAGATATTGCTGTTTTTCTCCTGCGTCAATAAAAAGAAGAAGACGAAGAACAAAGAAATAGACACGGCCAAGATGGAATATGTGACCGGGGAAGAGGGGGGGTTATACGCACGGAGGAGACCGGTTCAGCCGGATGCCGACGGCTTCAAGCTCCGCCTCGAGGAGCGCACGCTGCTCAGCGCGCTTGGTCGCGTCCAGCACCATGAGGATGAGGTCGCTCGTCTTGGCGGCCGAAATGACTTGCCGGCCGCGGCCCTTGCCCTCGGAGGCGCCCTCGATGATGCCGGGCAGATCGAGCAGCTGAATCTCGGCGCCGCCATACTCGAGCACGCCGGGAATGGCCGTCAGCGTCGTAAACGAGTACGACGCGGCCTCGGACTTGGTCTTTGTCACCTTGGACAGAAACGTCGACTTGCCGACCGATGGGAAGCCGACGAGGGCGATGCGCGCGTCGCCCGACTTGCTGACATCAAAGCCCGAGCCGGTTCCGCCACCGCTGCCGGGGCCGGGCTCGAGGAGTTGTGCGCGGAGGCGAGCGAGTTTGCTGGCATGGTGAGCACGATGATGAGGTTCATGGCGAAAAGGAACGGGGGGAGGGGGGGTGCGCGTCGTTTACCCTTTTAATAGACCCAAGTGATATTCTGCGCAAAAGGTCAGTGGGCATGGTAGTAAAGGGGGTTTTTTGTAAATCGGATTTTACAGACCTGTGGCCTTGTTTTCTGAGAATGGTTAGCTGACGACCTCGAGAATTGAGAAGAACTGTGTGACTTGTGGTTGATTGTGGTTCGGCGTGGTGGCGTCACTAACTTTGTGTCCTCTTCATCTCATCCTCAATCCTAAAACACACGTATCAGCCGATTTGCCGATAGGTCAGGGCTGCAAGCGCGGACATACTCCTTGATCTTGTCCGTAATATTGACCATCCTGAATCCAGTTATTTATAGACGGACTTGCCGTCTGTAATACCCCTTGTCGACTCGTATCGTGTTGATATCAAAAAGTTGCGGCTCAAGACTCAAGGTGGGGGATGTGGCAGAATATTTGGCGGGGGGGCGTGAATGTGGTGGTCAGATACCTCACCGCCTTCCTTTCTCTCATGCCGTTATGGACGACCAACGCGCCCGCTGAACCCTCTGTGTTACAGGTGCAAGTCCACTAAATAATAAGCTGGTCAGGGATAACTCATGATGTAGGTATTCCGTACCTAGGTTATGGGATGGGCCACACCCTACAAAGCTTGTCTTCACCCCCCCGGCGGTCTTCCCGACTATCACTTACCATTTCTAGTACAAGGCTCACGACTGTGTAAAATTTTCATCTAAACATCAAATCACGTCTGGAGAGCCATGTAAGGCTTAGCAGACTGAGGAGATTACTCACCCACAGGAGCTTTCAGGCTCAAATTCGACAGTCTCTCATATCATACCCTCTTAGTTGCCTTCTTGCGCCCCCCGCCAAGGAGCACCATATCTGAGATATCGTTGTGTCAATTGGACCATGGTGTTATGACGATTGTTATAATGGACTTGCCACTTAACTCAAAAGCTACACTCAAAGGCGCCTCGGTCATGTTATCACCGCAGACGGGAAGCTCTAGCACAGACACCCGATCGCTGGCAAACAAGACCCAGAACAGGCCTCGTCACCGCAAGACGCGTACAGGCTGCTTCAACTGCAAGCGCAGACGCATCAAGGTGAATTTTGGAATGTACTATATCGAGATATGAGGACTCACAGTTCTTCAGTGCAAGGAGGAACGACCAGCATGCCACAATTGTGTCAAATCGGGATATACGTGCGAGTATCCGGTCCAAGCCCGCCTTTACGCGGCGGTCAGTTAGTTCGGTGTACTATACTGTGGAATATGGCTGACGAATCTAGCCCGACCAAGTCCCAAGGTTTACTATGCTGGATATGCACTTTTTCCAGCACTTTCTCCTGCAATGTCGCCCAGTGTATCCTCTTGGCAACGAACAGGTTTGGAAACACGAGGTCCTCTGCCTGTCCCGCCACGTGAGCATGCTGCCCCAGACCCTAACCTTTGCAATCCAACTTACACTTTCTCATCAGCACGATTTTCTTCTCTACGCTGTTCTTGGGTTTGCTGCCGCCGACTTGGAAGCCAATGGCGCTACAAACTCAAGCCTCTCTGTACCAGCCATGACGTATCGGTGCAAGGCCATTCAGCTCTTTCGAAAAGCCATTGCATCTTTTCAAGAGCCTGAAAAGACTCTCGAAGTCGCGGCGCCGACAGAAAGCAAGAACCCGAAACCCAGAAAGTTTGCCAAGATTGCGAGTGAACCCAAGCCGCAGACCGATTCGAAGCATTACGGCCAGTCCATCATGTCTTCTGACCAAGGAAGCGCCCTTGTGGCATCGTGCTACTTGCTCATAGGACAATCCCGGTACCTGGGAGACGGTATACAGGATTTCATGACTCTCACACGAGGCTCTGCGTCGTTGCGTGCAGAAATGATACGGCTCAGATTCCCGCCTCTGTTTCGAAACCTCGAGCCCGAGGATTCCATCGAGACGATGCGCAGGTACCTACAAGAAGTGCCACCTCTTGACAAGCCGTGGATTGGGTCCGGGGAAGCTTCCTTGGACATGCTCAAGATGATCTGTGCGGACAAGTTGCAGCTGGCATACGTCACCAACTTGGAAAAGGTTTTGCAGTACTCCAAAGTAGACTGTTTCAAGGTATACACGAGCATCATGGGCCACTTTATCTGGTGGCAGAGTCTGCCGTTTGGAGACTTTCAGCGCATCATTGACCTCACCGACCAAGTCAACATTCTGTTAGCCACGCACTGGGTCGCTCTGATGATGATCATGTCCTTTTTGCACAAAGCATCCACAAAAATCAACAACGACTCCAGGAATGGGTCGGATACGCCTGCGCAAGGAAGCATAGGTGCCAAGGCTCAGGCGCAAAAAAAAGGCAAGTGTACGGAGCCTTGGTACTACTGGCTCGCGTGTATGAATCGTTGGATCAACGACGATCATCAGAAGTTTAATACCTGGCCGCAATGGGTGCAGGATAGGCTAGATGAAAATGCCATGTACTTTGAATCCTAGTACATCACTTACAATTGCACAGATGAATGGTATCTCATTTCCCGACTGCAGCTAGAGCAAAAAGAAGCCAAAAAATACGTACAGCACCCGGTGTTCGCTGGTCGTCACCGACCCAACTACTAATCTGGCGCTCAAGTGGTTGTCTATCGGAGATCGGACGGGATCCAGACTGGTCACTCGGCTATGGCCGTACATACTAGGTGTGCATCTAATTGCGTCTATAAGTAATGTGTATGCTGTCTCTCGATAGTATGAGATATCCAATCAACCATCAGCAATGATATATTTGATTATGAAGCGGCATGTCAGAGAAAGTGCCGTTGAAGCTTTCTGTTTGCTTTTACTATCGTGATGATGACATGCGTAAGCGGAGCGCCTCGTTTCGGCTACTCGGTCCGTTGAATCCTTTGGCCAGCGACATCCATCCAGTATCGACGCAACCATTCTTCTCACCAGCCATATTCGCGTCGCATCTCCGATGATGCAGTTCGAGGCTCTTTCATAAACTTTTCTAATTCTACAGATTACATCCGAGCATTTTGTAGCAAGATCTTTTGCGCCAGCCGCACGCCAGCTGCACGCTCTCCGCGAAACAGCCAACCCCAGCCTCCCTCCCGCCTCAAGAAACTAAGACATCACATTACCCCCCCTCTTCATCTTCGATTGCATCTGCCACTCTCCCCTCACGCACCAAATTCTCCTCTCTTTTCAAAAACACAGCTCACCTCATTAACAGCACCATATCCCATCGTACATCAAATCCTCATCCACCAGCGCCAGCCCCCTCCGCCCACCCCGCCCGCCATGCCGCAGCCCTCTCGCCCGTGGCGCGCCACGCAGCCGCTCAAGGCGCTCTGCATCGCCTACTTTTACCTCTCCGCGCCGCCCTATCTTCTCTACCTCGTGCTCAAGTTTTCGCTTCTGCAGCGTCTACGGCCCCACCCCCGTCTAGGCCTGCGAGCCAACGTCGGCAACCCCCTCGTGCGCGCGCTCTTTGGCGTCCTCACCTACACGCGCTCCCCGCGGCTCGTCGCCGAGAACCTGCCCCGGGACAAGACCCGCGTCACCGCCGTCCCCGTGCCACCCGCCTCGCTCTTCACCGGCGTCTTGACCTCTCAACCTTCCATCAAGCCCGCGCCCCAAAAGGCGCTCTGGTTCCCGCGGGCGCCCCCCGCCGACGCCAACCTCGCCGGGGAGACGGTGGTGCTGCACTTTCCCGGCGGCGCGTTTGTCGTCGAGGTCGGCCACGAGGCGTTTGGGCGCAGAGCCGCCGACGTGATGCTGCACGGCGGCCAGGCGGCGCGCTTCGTGTGGGCGCAGTACCGCCTCGCCAGCACGCCCAACCAGGGCTTCCCCGCGGCCGTGCAAGACGCCGTCACCTTTTACGCGCACCTCCTCTCGCTGGGCTACGACGCCAAGAATATAGTCTTGTCTGGTGATTCTGCCGGCGGCAACGTGGCGCTCGCGCTGCTGCGGTACCTCGAGGCGACGCAAGGGGCGCTGTCGCTGCCGCTGCCGCTGCCGCTGCCGCGCGGCGTCATGGCGTGGTCGCCGTGGGTCGAGGTGACGCCGCGGGCGGCGCGCGATTTTGCAGAGACCAACGCGGCGGCCACGGATATCTTGACGCCCGAGTTTCTGCAATGGGGCGCCGACGCGTACCTGCCTCCACAGGCGGGGGCCGGCGGCGGCGGCCGCGCCCTGTCGGACGAGGTCGCCGGGTACGTGTCGCCGCTGCACCGGGCATTTGCCACCTCGGTGCCCGTGTTTCTGCACGCGGGCGAGGCCGAGGGGTTCTGCTCGTCGGTGCGTCGGTTTGCGGACGAGATGGAGGAGGTGAATGGGAATAAGCGGGTTCGCTTCCACGGGACGCCGCACGCGGTGCACGACTTGCTGCTGGTGTGGGAGGGGCAGGGCATGCGCAAGGAGGCGGAGGCTGCGGTTAGTGATGCGTGGGAGACGGTTGGCGCGTGAAATGTGATGTGGTTCTGCAATGTAATGGCCTGCGACTGCAAAAGCAAGGCTCTGTGCGCTCGAGAGGAGGCAGTCAAGTGTTGTTATCTCGATATTGGTGCGGGCCAATGCAGCTACTTGTATTATTTGGTCTTTTGCAGTTCAAGATGCATTTTTTTATCCAGATTGCTATGCTTCTCGTAAACAGCCAAATTTGTATTCCCAATTACTCAGGCTTAATTTTGTCTGTACATTCATCTTTTCGCCGAATTTCGCCTGCTGATGCTGTAGTGTGGTGTTTGGCATCGGCTGTCTCTCTGGTACATATGCGCGTCACCCCACATCATCAAGTCTTGAGAACTTGGTTTGCAAACGAGATAGAATATTCCTTTTATTCAGTGACACCTGTATCTCAGACCCATTCACAACTGAAATCGAACAAAGATATCATGTCGAGTGTTATATCCTCTGGTAACAAGCGCTCCATGCGATTGCCGGGTAAGATGCCGAGTCGGGGTAGTAATAGCAGTAGTAAGCTGACAGGATGAGCATGTGACGCCTCAACTCCGGTCGCGAGAAAGGACGAAAGAAGAAAAAAATAAAACTAAAGAGCAAAAAGCAAAAAAAGCAAGCGCGTGCAAGTCAATGAGTCCTAACCATTCGGGTAGGATGAATCGTTATGTCGTAAATGGGCCCTCGAGTTATTTACGGCCTCCGCTGGTGGACTGCTTCTTGCTGGTGCTCGAGGCGCTGAGGGCTCGCTTCCGACGGACGGGCACGCCCTGGGCTTCGTTGCCTACTTTGGCGCGAACTCTGCAGCATGTTAGAGATTGGAACAAGAAGAGAAACCTCCTAAAATTCCCAACGCGCAGAAAAAAAAAAAAAAAAAAAAAACCAAGGCAATGAAAGAGTTCATGTGTCGGCGCAGTATGGGTGAGGAGGGGTGTTCTTACTCGGACTGTAGCTTGGCAATACGAATGCGAGTAAGGATCCGGTGCATCTCATCCATGGCGAATGGTGTTTTCTTGTAGTTGTGAGGTAGACCTTGTATTGAAAGCAGAAAGCAAGGAGTCGTGTTGTTTTGTTGGATGTAGAAGCAGACAGATTTGCCAACAACTTCGTCACAAGAGAAAAGGGGAGGCCGCGGGTCTTTTTGTCGCATCAGCAAACATCAGCAAACATCACATGCTTTCTCAAACGGCTTCATGACTCTCCGCAAAACGCATCAACTAGCGCCGCACCATGACTACGAACTACTACTACTACTACCCCCCCCGGAGTCCACTTCCCCGAGTTGGCAAGCTGGGCAAACGCAACGTCAACCCAACTTTTGATTAGTAAATTTGCCCATTTGCTTATTTTGCCCATTCCCCACGACGTTTGTTTGAAATCTCCTAGCGTTTGAATCGTGCGCATCGTGCGCATCGTGCGCTTCTACTTTCTCGCGCGAGGCACGCAAAGGCACCGTGCGCTTGCGAGTCCGTGCTGCGATGAACTTGGATTGCTTTTCTGCAAGCACCTTCCCCGCAAACAGCTGGCTGGCTGAACTCACGCTACTCAGTCACGCTACTGAGTAAGTGGCCTGGCGTCAGGGAAGGAAGCTCCAGAAACTCGCATGTAGGATGCAGGGCTAGTCTCCGTTTTGGACATCGGCCCGCGTGATGCCGCGCTGGCCAAGGGAAAACAATGAATCCCGTTTACATGGACGTGGCCCGCGCAACACCATTTGTACTATCAACGTCTCAATGAACCCGCTGTCCACCCGCGCTTCTTTCACGGCCTGCAAGACCGGCAGCTCTCCCGCAAGAAACTCTCCGACGACGGCGTCTCGGACCCCTGACCCTGGCAACACTGCAACGAGTCGTAAGAGTCGCCGATCCAGGCACTAGTCAGATTCTAACACCGAGTATTTCAATAGTACTTTGCCTAGCAGTACAAGGTGTTAATTAGCACACATCTTCCTAGTACCCTATCCAGCCGTCCTAAAGCCTCCTCGTCACCACCCCGGAACAGCCCTCGCCCGGACGTGTATGCCGCCCGCCACTTTGGCCGTTACCATCTGCTCAAACATGACATTCGCCTCATCCATCATGGCCTCGTCGCGGAGCGCAAACTCGAACCGGCCCACCCACGTGGCCAGCAGGCATGCAAACTCAGCCTTGGCAAAGCTTTGCCCGATACAGCTTCGCGGGCCGTGGAGAAAGGACAAGAACACATAGTTGCTCGACGCGCCGCCCACAGACGCGGCCTTGACGCTGGCCGCCGTGCCGCCGAGGCCGTCGTCCTCGTCGTCGCCGCCGCCCCGCGCAACAAGCCACCGCTCCGGCTTGAACTCGCCGCCGTCAGGTCCCCAGAAGCGCGTGTCCAGGTTGGTGGCCCAGGGCACCAGCAGTAGGCGCGTGCCCCGGGGCAGCGGCTGGCCCTGGATCGTCGTGTCGCGCACCGTCTCGCGGATTGTCTGCGGCACGGGGCTGTACATGCGCAGCACCTCGCTGCACACGGCCGCGAGGTACGGCAGGCGGTCAATCTCCATGCTCGTAATCTCCCGGCCGTCGTCACCGACGGGTGGCGGCAAGTTTGCGCGCACCTCTTGGCGCAGACGCGTCTGCACCTCGGGGTGCCGGCACATGGCGTAGATGGCAAAGCTCAGCGCTGAGGCGGTGGTTTCGTGGCCGGCGCCTAAAAACGTCATCATGTGGTTGATGAGCTCCTCCTCGCTAAACATGCCCGAGCGGAGCGCAATAGACAAGATGTCGACATCCTCGAGCTTGCTATCGGCGAGCTTCTGTCTCTTGAGCCGGATGACGTCCTTGCACACGTCGCGAATCTTCTTGGCCGCGCCTTTAGCTTCGATAGCGCGAGGTATGGGCGATTGGAGGAGGATTGACATGGGAACAAAGGCTGTGAGAAAGTCGGCCATTACCAAGAGAAGGCGATCCTGCATAGTCGGCGTGGTAATGAGCATATACGTCTTGACAATCTCATCGTCTTCATTATGTGTGGCGTTAAAGTCACGACCAAGACCAGCGACGCCAATAATGTCCAGCGACACACGGCCGGCCCAGTGGCCGACTTCAAACTCGGCATACCCGTCGGCATCGCACTCTTTGGTCATGACTTGCACGACATCGCAAGTCTTGCGCCAGAACAGAGGATACAGATCCTTAATGTGGCGAAAGGCAAAGGCCGGCATCAGGTTTCGGCGCTGCACCTTGTGGTCATGACCCTCGGCAAGCACCAGGCCGTGGCCCAGGACCGGCCCGAAGAAGCCGCGGATAGTAGGCGGCTTTTCAAACTCGTAAGCTTTCGAGACGAGGACTTCGCCAAGAGCTTGTGGCGATGTCACGATGAGGTATTCGCGATGAAACGCGCCATAGATGCGAATGAATCCCTCATTTGCAGTCTCTGCAATCCTGTTTGATGGCATTAGTTTGGAAAAAACTCTGGGTTCGGCTTCAAGTAGTTTGTGCGAGTTCCCTGGGAGAGCGAATTAACTTGCCAGTCTCGTGCAGCAACACCTAGACCCCTGCTGATGGCATCGATAGTATGTCCGGTGACCAGACGCCAGCCTCTGGGAGTTGGAAGTTTGCGCAGAGGCGATATGAAGAAGGGATATATGAACATGTACCAAAACCCCCACGTAACAAACTGTGCGGCCCAAAGTACCACGAAAACCTCCAGCCCGAGTACCTTGGTGGGCTCCCCGGCAGTAAACACGACAGCGGCGGCACCTAGGCTGGAACTGATTGTAATTGTTGGTATGGCCGGCGGCATGGTGAGTCGTAGTGAATACTAAAAAGAACTGTTGAACAAAAACTTTCTTTGCAAACTTGTGATTCAATTATCAGTTCAGACACATCGCTGCCCAGCGTCTTATAGCACTGGCGCTAGCGTCAGGTCACGCGAGACAGATGCACACCGAAACGACAAATTTGTTGGGAAGCCAGGAAAGCATCATATCTTGAGCGCTCCGTGTCCGTTCTCCTCTAATGATTTTGCCGTTCCGTGATCGCCCATCCGCTTGATTGGCGTTGTTCATTGTTCACCCTCTTCCAGCCACCGCAGGGTAGGACACACAACTTGCGAAGGAGAAGAGAAGCGCCATGATGACACTCGAGCTTATCAGCTCCTTGCAACATAGTTATAATGACTCAACTATATTTGGAGCATTGGATTGGTCTATGGTTCATCTATATGTCGGTTTTGGCCATTTTGATTTTCGGATTTGATATTCATATATCACATCTGATAGCAAATAGCCACACCCGCTATTCCCTGGAAATCGGTGGGAGAGCCCCGCTGCAGCGAAAAGAACCCCAACCCGGCTGGGGCTGGAAAAGCTCTACAGCCAGGATGTCGGCCACCAATTAGAGCGTTGAACTGACTGAAAGCAGACCATTACGTATATAACGATGCCTGTTACCAAGTGCGGAGACGGCAACAGGGCGACCGTTGAGAAAGCGTCGATCACAGTAATTATATACGCATAGCTTGCTAGCCGATGTTGAACCTCGGTTTCCTAGACAAGACTATGTACAAAAAACCGGCGCATATTGATAATGTAGATTGCAATAATGACTTGGTGCGTGATTATATTACTGCCTCCTCGAGAGCGCCAACGAGTACTCGCCGTCCAGTAAGGAATGCCGCATCAGCAATATCCGTACTGAGTAAGCATTTGGTTTTCACATGTCTTACATATCAAAGGCTTGGGGCGCAGGGTTCTATTTCATGCCATTTGCCACTTTTCTGTTGAGTCGACTCGGGCTGTTTATGCGAACAGTAAAAGTCCCCGTTCTACCGAACGCATGCTGTTGCCCCCTCGTTTGGACAGAGAGAGGGGGAGGAGAGGGGGAGGAGAGGGAGAGTAATGGTGGTGGTGCCTCGGAAAGGACAAGAAGGATGTGAATGGGGAGGTTGGGATGGGACAGCTCGCAGTAGCAAGGCAGTGACACTGGCGGTATCTCTCTTGCAAAGAGACGCGGCACTGTACGTTTCCTTGGAGTGAATTCTGATGGTGTCTGTTGGAAGTTTAACTGCAAATTATGTAGCACACATTAGTTACGGAGTACACTGTGACGAACAACTCGCCGTCTCTTATCCCGTCTGATGGCGGTTTCTGACAGCGCCGAATCAATCGTGCCTGGGCCGTAAAAGTGTAATACAATACATATACCACACCCATGCTTGACACCTTTGCGAGCTAAATAAATAGTTTACCGCAGACGGGGCCAGTGGCCTATAGCAAACTCACTATCCGTACTTCATATTGACTATGTAGGGAAGCCGGCTTCGGTGAGCCGTATACAGTGACCAGCCACCACCAGCCACAAATTGGTCAACACAACCTCTCGGTTATTGAGTCGGTAAATTAACTCAAAAGCTCTCGAGGAAGCTACATGCTGCCTGGGGATTATGCCCGCGAACAGTGGCTACTTGGCATCTGCTTGCGGCAAATACCGATGGACTGAGTTGGTGTTGCCCTTGGCCTTGAGCCCTACGTTGATGAAATCGTAAGCGATGGCTCGGAGCAGCACTGGCAGCTTGCCACTGGCAGCTTGCCACTGGCAGCTTGCCACTTCCAGCTTGCCACTGGCAGCTTGCCACTTCCAGCTTGCCACTTCCAGCTTCGTAGATGCCTTTGTGTGCCAGAAGTTCATGTGGGTTACCAACTTTACCTGATTTGCCTAGCAGGCGGTGCTCAACCACACTACACACGGCAAGCAGCCCACTACGCAACCTTTGACTTTCAGGCACATGGATACTTTAGGGCAGGGTCAAGAAAAATTTGAGCTCCCCTTTGAAGAATACGGTGCTCAATGACCGAGAAGAGAAAAGTGAGTAAAGAAAAAAAAAAAAGTAGAAATCTGTGGAATGAGCGTAGTTGTCCGCACTGAGTTAGACTCTGCTGGGTGACTCGATTTGGCGCCTCGTTACATGCCATCCATTACTGACCTCGTATTGTCAAATTGCAGAAAACATGCTTTCCGCTAGTGTTTGGATGACGCCCTTTTGGACCGAGCAACAATCTCATGCTGTCAATCAAAAAACACGCGGTAATAGCAAGTATATATGCCCGCGCTGTTTTCAAAGTCGAAAGCGCTTCCGCAAGAGTATGCGCATACTCAGTATCCGTACTAACGTTGAAAATACCGATCCGGTCAGACTTGAGCGTTTTTTGATCGTTTTGATCGTTTGCAAGCCTCGGCGGCGGCGCGAGCGGAACGTCGCGACGGGGGTCGGTACCTGTTGGCGCTTGCAAAATCAAACAGGAACAAGGCGATCCGACTCAAGTCCAGAACGCGACTTCGACCGACGGCCCGACGGATAGGGAAACAAGTTGCCCAGTTTTGAGTCTTTTGACTCAGGGGTAATGGCATAGCATGTCTAATAGCATGATGCTAGTGCACGTTCAGCCCTAGCGTTCTCTTTGCGGACTCAATAATGACGTCGAGAGTGGAATGTTGACTTTTTCGTTTGCAGGAACATCTCGTGTTTGGACCCACACTCAGGGCATGTGGGGGATAACTAGTCCATAAGCAGAGACAAAAGATTGTATGCCATGTACACAGTTGTTTAGCGCTTGTTGCAGCTCGTATCCCGCTGCAGTAGGTGAGCAGCGGCGCATTGCATTCATTATTCATTACTGTCAGGTGTAGGTAGTTACTGAGCAAATTGAATAAGGTTTCGTGTTTTCATACGGCCTTGTCTGCCGCTTTGGCATGCGGATAGAGATGGGTCGTGCCGATCATGGACTTGGCCATTGGGGGGGATAAATAGGACCGTCGCCAACCCGTCTCTCAAAAGAAAGCAACCCGAGTTTATCCATTCGTTTTTCTTTCTTCACAGCAAAAACCGTCACAATGAAGTTTTCCACCATCTCCTCCTTCCTCTCCGTCGCTGGCATTGCGGCTGTCACTGCTGCGGACGCTGTCTCTTCCCAGACTTGCGTTCCCTACGACGGTACATCAGACCCCCCCCCCCCCCCCCCCCAAATCTTTACTACTTCTCAACTCAACATGGACCCATGCTGACCGACCCCCCCCACGGCAGGCATCTGCTTCCAGAATGGCGTAGACTACGGCGCTTGCTGCGGTGATGGCATTTGCGCTGGCTCTCGCTGCCGCAACCCCAAGACTGAGACTGGCGCCGCCCACCACACCAAGACTACTTCCACCTCTACGGCCCAGCCTACTTGTGTCCCCTACGACGGTGAGTACTAGCCCATCATTTCACCATTTGACCTCCCTGGAAAAAGGTCTAACGAGTCATGCATAGGCATCTGCTACCTCAACGGTGTCGACCACGGCGCTTGCTGCGGCGATGGCATCTGCGCTGGCTCTCGCTGCCGCAACCCCAAGACCGAGACTGGCAAGCCCGCTCCTACCACTACTGGTGGTGGTGCCGTTATTACTCAAATTTCCGACGGCCAGATCCAGGCCCCCACTGGCGCCCCCACCGTTCCCGTTGTCGCCGGCGCCGGCAAGGCTATTCCCGGCTTGGCTGCTGCTGGTGCAGCTGTCGCTTTCCTCCTGTAAGCGTCTCGAAAACACGTTATAGGCGGATGGGGAAAAAAAGAAAAAAGGGCAAAAAGTAGACTTTTGCGATGAACCTAGCATCGATGTTGGTAAATTATGTCTAATGGCTAGGCGGAAGAATCTGTCTTTTATAAGTCGCTTCATATTTGCCATTGGACGAAAATAATGTAATCATATTATGCCAAGCTTAATAAACACTGTTCAAGCATGGCGATGATGTTTTGCTTAGGATGTGATGACGATTTTTCAGGCGATGTCGCATCCAATGCAGTGGGCATATAATTAACCTATGTCTATGGGTCTTTCTCTTCATAATAGAGCCGACAAGGGTAACTAAGCCCTGGAAAGTGACAGGAGACTAACCTGGTTGGCGATCCCTGGAATCTCTCGGTGAATTGCATAAAATCGCCGTGCTTATCCAAGTCTCCAGCGCAGTGCATAGCGATGCGCAGAATAGCCTGCCGGGCTACTCATTTAATTCAATAGGGCTATTTCTCGGGGTCAAAGCTCCGAAGTGCATAGCAGTGCGTCGCACAGCCTGACGGGCTGATTGATTGATTCATAGGGCTATTTCCCGGATACTAGCGGAGTACATACTGCAGCGTCTGCGTGCGGCGTCCGCGAGAGCGTAATATCTTCACATGCTCGCGAGGGCGACGCCTAGCACATGTGTTGTCGCATTCCTCAACAAGCTAATCAGCTAATATCAGTAACGCCATAAGTAGGTGATCCAGTTTTCAATGAGCATCTTATCTATTAGAACTGACTGATTGTTGAGGTATCTGGGCCGAGTTCTGACCCTGATGCTGTCAATATTGCCCGGAGTGCGTCAACGCTCTGGTGTGGCGGGCCGGGCGGGCCGGTTTGACCTGCATTGATGCCACCATGAGCGCACTACAGCCCGACGGTGCAGGCCAAACTAGGAAACATGTAACAATAAGAAAAATGAGCAAAGACCACGGGACGGGCTCGGCCTGCAAGTAGAAATCCGCTTTGCAGATGGCGTATGTACGGGTAGCAGAATCTAACTGGTCGGCATTCACGCCTGATAAGACCAACTGGCCATTTACTGTAGGATAGTTGACCGTTTGATAATATTGCCATGTCGTGATGCGGCTGAGAGCTGCAAATATTATGTATAGTACACAGTTTGTTAACAAGTATGAGATACCCTGAGAGCATGTAGTTCATGTAGCTTATGATCAGCGTCTCACTATCACGAAAAGGATCATGTCGAACCACTGACAAAGAAGATGTGCATTGCAGGGATTTGCGACGTTGAGACTTTACAAGACAATTTCATGCGGCTCAACGGTCTATTTGGTCCGCATGGTGCTGGGTAGTGGCATGAGGGTTCAGCGTTCCGTATGATGCGGTCTTGTATATGTAGAAACAGAGACCCAACATCGGAGGCTGCTCTGCGCATATTGATACGATACTATCGATAAAGAATTCATCAATCTTCATCAGTTGGCTTGCTTCACGTCTCCTCCAGGCATCTCTATGGAGCCACCCAACAACGCCAATACCGGGCAACTGGGCCCAACTTTGCCGAATGGCACAGTTGACTTGCCAACAGATCTCTCCCGAGAAATAACTCGGCACTTTGGCCTGGAACAAGATGAGATTGAGGAAATTCTACCGTGTACGCCTTTCCAGCGCGACGTGATTGAATGTGCCTCTGATGACAAGCGCCGTGCTGTCGGACATGTCGTTTATGAGATCCCCGAAGACGTCGATACCGAGCGATTGGCCGCCGCCTGGAAAGCTACCGTGCGATATACTCCGGCTCTGCGAACCTGTATATTTACTTCGGAAACTGGCAACGCCTTTCAGGTCGTTCTCAGAGACTGTTTCATTTTCGCACGGATGTACTGCCCGTCGGCACATCTCAAATCCGCCATAGTCAAAGACGAAGCCACTGCTGCTGTTGCTGGACCGCGATGCAACCGATATGTCCTTACCGGAGAACCCAATTCCAAGAGACGAGTTCTTGTATGGACATTCAGTCACTCTTTTGTCGACAGTGCGTTCCAGGGGCGTATACTCCAGCAAGTCCTTGCAGCTTACAAGGACGAACATGGCCGGGTTTTCTCTCTGCAACCAACAACTGACCTGGTTGAGTCTGAAAATGGAGACTGTCTCAGCACACCAGCTTCTGAGCGAACCGTGGGCATTGAACGAGCCACACAATTTTGGCAAGAGAAGCTGCACGGACTGGATGCCTCCGTGTTCCCTCATCTGCCTTCCCACAAGAGGGTTCCGGCCATTGATGCGCGGGCGGACCACTACCTCCCATGCCCGCCATTCATTCAGCATGAATGGTCCAGCACTACTGTGTGTCGAACAGCGCTGGCAATCCTTCTCGCTCGTTATACACACTCTAGCGAGGCTCTGTTTGGTGTAGTGACTGAGCAGTCGCATGAGGAGCATCCCCTTCTACTTGACGGACCTACAAGCACTGTGGTTCCCTTCCGCGTGCTCTGTGCTCCAAATCAGTCAGTTTCGGAAGTCATGGAAGCAATTACCACCTATGACCATGATATGCGTCAGTTTGCGCACGCTGGGCTCTGCAACATCAGCCGAATCGGAGATGACGCCTCTGCTGCCTGCGGATTCCAAACAGTACTGATGGTCACCGACAGTCGGACTGCTAGTGCTGATGAAATTCATCATGTTCTAGAAGAGCCCGAGAAATTCATACCATGCACTGATCGCGCTCTTTTACTGTCTTGTCAGATGACCGACGAAGGGGTCTTGCTGGTCGCAAGATATGATCAGAGTATTCTCGAACCTCTTCAAATGGCTCGTTTTCTACGACAGCTGGGCTTCCTGATCAACAAGCTGCAGAGTACAGACGGCTCGCCATGCGTGGGACAGCTGGATGTTCTGGCCCCAGAAGATCGCACAGAGATTGAAGGCTGGAATTCCGAACCACTGCAGACACAAGACTGCCTGATTCACAGCGAGGTGGTGAAGAACGCTGATGACACGCCAAACAAGCCGGCTGTCTGCGCCTGGGATGGAGAATGGACCTACTCCGAGTTGAACAATGTGTCGTCACGACTGGCTTCATACATCAGCTCACTTGATCTAGGGCAGCAGCTGATTGTGCCAATCTACCTTGAGAAATCAAAATGGGTCATGGCCGCCATCTTGGCGGTGCTCAAGGCCGGCCATGCATTCACCCTCATTGACCCCAACGATCCACCAGCTAGAACGGCGCAAATCATCAAGCAGGCATCTGCCAGCATTGCGCTTACTTCTGCACTCCATCAGAGCAAGATGCAGACCGTCGTTGGCCGCTGCATCACGGTTGATGATGACCTATTCCAGACTTTGACTACCTTTGAGGGCAGCCAAGTCGCTTCCGCAGCGAAGCCAGGTGATTTGGCGTATGTCATTTTCACCTCTGGTAGTACTGGAGACCCAAAGGGCATCATGATAGAACATAGAGCATTCTATTCTTCTGTTGTCAAGTTTGGCAAGGCACTCGGTATTCGCAGCAGCACACGCGCGCTCCAATTCGCAACTCATGGATTTGGCGCATTTTTACTCGAGGTTCTAACTACCTTGATTCACGGCGGCTGTATCTGCATTCCGTCAGATCATGATCGGATGCATAATATTCCAGGATTTATACGACAAAGCCAGATCAACTGGATGATGGCAACGCCTTCGTACATGACGACAATGAAACCAGAGGACGTCCCAGGTCTGGAAACCCTCGTCCTCGTGGGAGAACAAATGTCGTCATCCATTAACGACGTCTGGCTCTCCGAGTTGCAGCTCTTGGACGGTTACGGCCAGAGTGAGAGCTCTTCTATATGCTTTGTCGGCAAAATTAGTGACTCGTCTCGCGATCCTAACAATCTCGGCCGGGCCATTGGCTCGCATTCCTGGATCGTCAACCCTGATAATCCTGATCAGCTGGTGCCAATCGGCGCTATTGGTGAGCTACTGATAGAAAGCCCTGGTATTGCACGCGGCTATCTTTTTTCTCAATCTACCGAGACGCCATTCCTTGAGAGAGCGCCTGCTTGGTATGCGTCGAAGCAGCCACCCTACGGCGTCAAGTTTTACAGGACTGGAGATTTAGCTCGTTACGCCCCCGATGGCACAGTGATTTGCCTTGGCCGTATGGATTCGCAGGTCAAAATTCGCGGCCAGCGCGTGGAGCTAGACGCGATAGAGAATCTTCTGCGACGGCAATTTCCTAGCGACGTGACCGTTGTGGCTGAAGCTGTCAAGCGGTCGGATCTGCCCAGCAGCGTCGTCATCACTGGGTTCTTGATCAGTTCTGAGTATGTTGTTGGTGCTCCAAGTACGGAAGACACCTATATCCTTGACCAGGCTGTTACGCAAGAAATCAATGCGAAAATGCGGCAAATTCTTCCCGCACACTCGATTCCGTCGTTCTATATCTGCATGAAATCGCTCCCACGCACTGCCACAGGCAAGGTCGACAGGAGAAAACTTCGGTCCATTGGCAGCAGTCTACTAGCATTGCAGGCACAAAGCACTGCGCCCCGTTCAAGCCAAGCCCCTGACGCATCTGCTGGAGTGACGAAGCTTGAAGAGGTGTGGATGGACATCTTCAATCTGACACCCAACTCTCATAACATCGGAGGCAACTTTTTCGCGCTGGGTGGAGATTCCATTACTGCAATCAAAATGGTAAACATGGCGAGAGCAGCCGGGATACAGCTCAAGGTCTCTGACATTTTCCAAAATCCTACCCTTGCCAGCCTCCAGGCAGCTATTGGTGGCAGCTCAATGACCGTCACCAGCATCCCGGCGCTAGCTTTGGATGGTCCTGTGGAACAGTCATACTCGCAAGGTCGACTATGGTTCCTAGATCAACTGGAAATAGGTGCCAACTGGTACACGATTCCGTACGCCGTCCGTCTGCGAGGGCCACTGGATGTTGACGCACTCAACCGCGCCCTGCTTGCCTTGGAGAAACGGCATGAGACGCTGCGGACAACCTTTGAGGATCAAGATGGAGTGGGGGTTCAAATCATTCATGAAACGCTTCTGGATCAGTTGAGGATCATCAATGCTGATCATGCCGACTATGTTCAACTGCTCAAGCAGGAGCAGACTGCACCTTTCAACCTAGCATCCGAATCTGGATGGAGGGTATCGCTGATACGCTTAGACGATGATGATAACATTTTGTCCATTGTCATGCACCATATTATTTCCGACGGTTGGTCCATTGACGTACTTCGACGAGAGCTTGGTCAACTTTACGCCGCCGCTCTACACGGTGCAGACCTTTTTGGATCAGCCTTGAGCCCGCTTCCGATACAATACAGAGACTTTTCCGTGTGGCAGAAACAAGACGCTCAGGTGGCCGAGCATGAGCGTCAGCTGCAGTACTGGCAAAAACAGCTCGCAGACTGTTCACCGGCGAAATTACCGACGGATTTCCACCGGCCGGCGCTGCTCTCGGGTAAAGCCACCACTGTGCCAGTCACGATTACGAGTGAGCTGTACTACAGGTTGCAAGAATTCTGCAGCACATTCAACACGACTTCCTTTGTCGTGCTCTTGGCGACGTTCCGGGCGGCACACTACCGTCTTACAGGCGTCGACGATGCTGTTATTGGTACGCCAATCGCCAATCGCAACCGGCATGAGTTGGAGAACTTGATTGGCTTCTTTGTCAACACTCAGTGTATGAGAATCACCATCAACGAGGATGAGGAGACATTCGAAAGCTTGGTGCGTCAGGTTCGCTCTACAACGACTGCGGCGTTTGAGCATGAAGATGTCCCCTTTGAACGCGTTGTATCTGCAATGCTACCCGGGTCTCGGGATCTCTCCCAGAACCCGCTCGCACAGCTTGTCTTTGCCATTCACTCGCACAAAGATCTTGGAAAATTTGAGCTCGAGGCTCTCGAATCAGAGCCCCTCCAAAATGAAGTCTACACCCGGTTCGATGCAGAGTTTCACTTCTTCCAGGCGCCGGATGGCTTGACTGGCTACATCAACTTTGCCACGGAGCTATTCAAGGTCGAAACGATTCAGAATGTGGTCAGCGTCTTTTTGCAAATCTTGCGCCATGGCCTCGAACACCCTCAAACTCTGATTTCAGTCGTGCCGCTCACTGACGGCCTAGCGGAGCTACGCAGTATGGGATTGCTCGAGATCAAAAAGGTCGAGTATCCGCGCGACTCGAGTGTGGTTGACGTCTTCGCCACCCAAGTTGCTAGCTACCCAGACACTCTTGCAGTGGTTGATTCTTCATCACGCCTGACATACGCGGAGTTGGACCATCAATCCGACCTGCTCGCGACGTGGCTCCGTCAACAGAATCTTCCGACAGAGGCATTAGTTGTGGTACTAGCGCCACGCTCATGTGAAACAATCATCACCTTCCTCGGCATCCTCAAAGCAAATCTGGCATATCTTCCACTCGATATTAGGTCCCCTATTACGCGGATGAGAGATGTTTTATCCACTCTGCCAGGTCGCACAATTGCCTTGCTTTGCTCTGACGAGGTTGCGCCAGATTTCCAGCTCCCTAGCATAGAGCTCGTGCGTATAGCTGATGCTTTGGAAGAGGCTGCTGGCATGACAAGTCTGAATGGGCATGAACATGTACCTGTGCCGAGCCCCTCACCAACGAGCCTTGCGTATGTTTTATACACGTCTGGATCAACAGGCCGCCCAAAGGGCGTCATGATTGAACATCGTGCAATTGTGCGACTAGCAAGGAGTGATATCATTCCGGATTACCGACCGGCGTGTGGCGATACCATGGCCCACATGTTCAACACTGCATTTGATGGCGCTACTTACGAGATCTACACAATGCTTCTCAACGGTGGGACACTGGTTTGTGTAGACTACATGGACACTTTGAGTCCAAAGTCGCTGGAAGCCGTGTTCAAGAAGGAGCAGGTCAATGCGACTATCATGGCGCCAGCATTACTCAAGCTATACCTCGCTGACGCACGAGATGCCCTCAAGGGACTTGATGTCCTCATCTCTGGTGGCGATAGATTCGACCCTCAGGATGCTGTCGATGCGCAGTCACTTGTTCGAGGCTCTTGCTACAACGGATATGGTCCTACCGAAAATGGAGTCTTTAGCACTGTATACAAGGTTGACAAGAACGATCCATTCGTGAATGGTGTTCCCCTGGGACGAGCGGTGAATAACTCGGGAGCTTATGTTGTCGATCGCAACCAGCAGCTCGTCGGCCCTGGCATTATTGGAGAGCTAGTGGTGACTGGTGACGGTCTTGCCCGGGGCTATACCGAGCGAGCATTTGATCAAAACCGGTTTATTCAGCTAAAGATTGAGGGACAATCTGTAAGGGGATACCGGACGGGAGACCGGGTACGCTATCGGGTAGGAGAAGGCCTGATTGAGTTTTTCGGGCGCATGGATTTCCAATTCAAGATTCGAAGTAACCGCATCGAGGCAGGGGAAGTTGAGGCTGCCATTCTCAGCCATCCCGCTGTGCGTAATGCTGCCGTCATTCTTCACGTCCAAGAGAAGCTGGAGCCAGAGATTGTCGGATTTGTCGTTGCGGAACACGACGACACTGCCGAACAAGAGGAAGCGGGCGACCAAGTTGAAGGGTGGCAGGCATTCTTTGAGAGCACCACATATACTGAACTTGACACTGTCAGTTCGTCCGAGATTGGCAAGGATTTCAAAGGCTGGACTTCAATGTACGACGGCAACGAAATCGACAAGGCAGAGATGCAGGAGTGGTTGGACGACACTATCCATACGCTCACGGATGGCCAGGCTCTAGGTCACGTACTCGAAATTGGTACTGGCTCTGGCATGGTACTATTCAATCTCGGCTCTGGGCTGCAAAGTTTCGTTGGTCTCGAACCATCCAAGTCAGCAGCCGCGTTCGTCAACAACGCCATCAAGTCTACCCCCGCCCTCGCGGGAAAAGCTCACGTCTTTGTCGGTACCGCTACAGACACTAACAAGCTAGATGACCTCCATCCGGACCTTGTGATATTCAACTCGGTTCTTCAGTACTTTCCGACCAGAGATTATCTAGAGCAAGTTGTGGACGCTCTGGTGCACTTGAGGAGTGCTAAGCGCATCTTCTTTGGCGACGTACGATCGTATGCAACCAACAGGCACTTTCTCGCAGCCCGAGCAATCTATACTCTTGGAAATCACACGACCAAAGACGAGGTCCGGAAAAAGATGGCCGAGATGGAGGAACGAGAGGAGGAATTTCTTGTTGAGCCCGCCTTCTTTACTACGCTGGTAAACCGGCTTCCCGACGTCAGACACGTCGAAATCATTCCAAAGAATATGCAGGCTACAAACGAGTTGAGTGCGTACCGTTATGCGGCTGTTGTACACTTGCGCGGCCCAGACGAGCTTACGCGGCCTGTGCATCTGATCAAGATGGACGACTGGGTGGACTTTCAAGCATCCCATATGCACAAGGATGCGCTTCGAGAGTACCTGCGGCTTGCTGAAAACACAAAGACGGTGGCCATCAGCAACATTCCTTACGGAAAGACGATCTTTGAGAGGCAGGTTGTCGAATCCCTTGATGACACGAGCGAGGATGCGCCGCACGCATCGCTCGATGGTGCAGCCTGGATCTCGGCTGTACGCTCCGATGCCAAGGCCCGCTCATCTCTCTCCGTTCCCGATCTGGTGCTCCTTGCCAAGGAGACTGGATTCCGTGTAGAGGTGAGTGCAGCACGGCAGTGGTCTCAAAGCGGTGCGCTAGATGCCGTCTTCCACCGCTATCATCCGGCCGAGCCCGACGTCCGTACGCTGTTCCAATTCCCCACGGACAATGACGTTCGAATGTCTGCGCTCCTCACCAATCAACCTCTCCAGCGACTGCAGAAGCGACGAGTGGCGGTGCAGGTTCGTGAATGGCTGCAAGACCGGATACCGTCTTACATGATCCCTTCCCACATTGTGGCGCTCGACCAGATGCCGCTCAACACCAGCGGCAAGGTCGACCGAAAGGAACTGTCTCGCCAGGCCAAAGCTATCAAAAAGGTGCAAAAGTCGGCACCACCGACGGCGCCAGCGTTTCCACTGAGTGAAGTAGAAGTTATGCTGTGCGAGGAGCTGACCAAGACGTTTGAAATGGACGTCAACATCACCGACGACTTTTTCCAGCTTGGCGGACACTCGCTGCTTGCCACGAGGCTGGTTGCGCGAATCAGTCATAGACTCGGAGCCCGTCTGACTGTAAAGGACGTATTCGACTACCCCGTCTTTTCTGAGCTTGCCGACATTATTCGTCAACAGTTGGCCTCGAAGAATACCCTCCTCCCTACAGCTTCGGCCGGTGGTGGTGGCCAGGACAAGAAAGAGTCTGCAGGCGTGGCTCCGACTACTGACATGGAAGCCATGCTGTGCGAGGAATTTGCAAACATTCTCGGCATGGACGTTGGAATTACCGACAACTTCTTTGACCTCGGCGGGCATTCACTCATGGCTACGAGGCTGGCCGCACGCATTGGCCACAGACTGAATACCACCATCTCGGTCAAGGACATTTTTTCCCATCCCGTTATTTTTCAGCTCTCGGCTAAGCTAGAGGTTTCTCAATTGGAAAGCTCCAGCGGGGGTACCGACATTAAAATGCCAGACTACACTGCCTTCCAGCTCATTCCCGCCGCCGATGCGGAAAAGTTTATGCAGGATCACATTTACCCGCAAATCAACTTTTCACAGGACATGGTTCAGGACGTCTATCTAGCCACACACCTGCAGCAATGTTTTCTACGCGACGTCTTTGGACGGCCGAAGCCTCTTGTGCCGTTTTACGTCGAGTTTCCACCAGACTCGAATCCTCATACCTTGGCCACAGCGTGCACATCGCTGGTTGACAAGTACGATATATTTCGGACAATTTTTGTCGAAGCCGAGGGCAATCTCTATCAAGTCGTCTTGAAGCATCTCAACTTGGACATTGACGTTGTTGAAACCGACGCCAATGTCCACAAGACGAGCAGCGACTTGGTCGATGCGATTGCAAAAGAACCTGTCCGTCTAGGACAGCCAATGATACAAGTCAAGGTTCTGAAGCAGACATCGTCTGTGAGAGTCCTTTTGTGGCTATCACATGCTTTGTATGATGGCTTGAGTTGGGAGCACATTGTCCGAGATCTTCACATTCTCTCCAAAGAGAGGTCCCTCCCGCCGGCAACCCAATTTTCACGGTACATGCAGTACGTGGACCATACTCGAGGACCTGGTTGCGACTTTTGGCGTGATGTTTTACAAAACGCACCAATCACAAACCTGAGCGATGCCGGTAGTGGCGGTCGCCCTACGAAAGCCGGCGATCCAAGGGTCTGGCATGCAGGCAAGGTCATTAGTGGTCCTTCTCAAGCCATTCGCAGCAGCATCACACAGGCGACAGTCTTCAACGCTGCTTGTGCCATTGTACTGTCAAAAGAGACTGGCACAGACAATGTCGTTTTCGGCCGCATCGTATCGGGAAGGCAAGGTCTGCCAGTACGCTGGCAAAACATCATCGGTCCATGCACAAATGCGGTTCCCGTCCGTGCCGTGGTGGATGCGCACGGCAATCACCAACAAATGCTTCGCGACCTGCAAGAGCAGTATCTGCTGAGCTTGCCGTACGAAACGATTGGATTCGACGAGATTAAGCGCAGCTGCACGGACTGGCCCGATTCCGCCCGCAATTATGGCTGCTGCGTGACATATCAAAATTTCGAGTACCACCCAGAGAGCGAGGTGGACCAGCAGCGCGTCGAAATGGGCATCCTGGCGAAAAAGGCTGAACTGATCAAGGAAGAACCGCTATACAACGTGGCTATAGCAGGCGAGGTTGAGCCGGACGGAGTTCACTTGCAGGTGACTGTGGTTGTCGATTCGCAGCTGTTTAGCCAGGAGGGGGCAACGCACCTGATGGAGCAAGTATGCAATACGTTTCAGGCTTTGAATGCGTCTTTATGAGAGATGAAGGGTGATTGGAGATGGGGGTTCCCTTGTGCGAGCTGGTTTGCGGGGGGGGGGAGAACAGCTGGATGTTATTCAGCACCCAGCTGGCTAATACTCGACCAGTCAGGAGACATTTTGTAAATATATGTATATAGATCAAAACATGAATCAAGAATGATTCCAAACTACAAAGATCTTACTGCTTGGCAGCTACTGTGGATGTTCTTTTAGCCTGATGGCGATTGCCTGGCAAAAGTACTCAACAAAGGTCTGGTCCCAGTTCTACAACAAGTTGACATCATGCCTCTAGATGTCGGAGAAGTTTAAAAAAGAGCATTTATTGTACCGAAATTTTTATAAAATGTACATCCTGTCCTGAGCCTTGCGACAGCGCCTCCAGATATGCTAGAAGTCGTGTAACAAATCATCGTCGCAAACGCCTTTGAACAGTTTACACGCTCTTTTTGAACCGACTTTTTTTTGAAAAAAAAAAAAAAAAAAAAAAAAATAGGTATTGTCTTAGTATGGCCCTAGTAAAACAGTATCTATACTAATATTTGAGATATATATAAGTAGCTACTTTTGGCATTGTGCCCGGAAACGGGAGGCCGACTAATACATCGGGCATATAAGCCTCTACTGGCTTCAAGCTGTAAAGACAGGACGGAAGCGCGCATTAGGACAGGAAACGACTTCGCTCGTCGCAACTGGCCATTCACCTGCCTCTCGACACGAGTTCATAATAACTCGGTCATTCTCCTTGATTGCAAAGCATAGTGAAAAGGGTCCCCCGCTTTGGACGTTGAGCACCGTATAAGGAATCGGCTTTCCCGCTACAGCGTTGACGGTATATCTCTTGACACCATAGCTGTCTTGGGACGCGTACCGAATGTGCATGTCGAAATTGGTGGCAGTGGGCGAAAGCGCCTTGTCTCCAACCCACAAGTAGGCGCTGTCGTCTACCCACCAGGTGTAGAATGTATAAGGACCCGTCGTTCGAGGGACCAAGAACCCAGTCCAAAACATGAGAAAGTAGGAAGCGCTGCTGGGGATGTTTGGGGAAAGCCTGACAACTTGGAGAGAGCTCGGACCAGTGGTGCCCTGGCGAAGGTTGCCCTGGTCTACCCAGCCAGCCTTGTCTGCTGTGCCGTTGATTGGCGCGGGAATCGACGAGCCACTCATGATGCGCGATAGATCAAAGGGCTGGGGAGCTGGCTGTGGCGTGTAAGGGATCTGGCCAGGACCAGTCCCCTGCGTCAATTGGTAATAGTGCCAGGCAACTCCAGGTGAGGACGAAGCGCACAAGTCTTGTACACACCGGCCCTCGACCAAGTGCCAACCGTCGCGACATTTGCCGGCGCACTGGTCTGTCACTGGAACACATATCCGTGCCACATTACACCACCAGTAGCCGGTATCACACTGACCGGCGCACCTCTCCCTCACTTTGATGCATCTATTCGCCACGTCGCACCACCAGGAGCCTGCATCGCAGCCTTGTGTGCAGGACTGACTATAGTGTATGCAGCGCCTTGACTTATTGCAAAAGTAATAGTCTGCAGGACACTTGCCGTTGCACTGGTCCGCGGTACGGATGCACTGTCTTTCGTATTGGCACCACCACTCGCCATCGAAGCACTCTCGGTATGAAGCACCGCTCGCAGCAGCCGGGCTATCCTCTCGCTTGGAGAAGCCGATGCCGTTCTGGAAATGGGAACCTTTGGTTGTGTACGTAGCTTCAGGCGACGTTGAGCCCTGCAAGTGAGCCAGTGTATCTCCAGATTGCGGTGTAGCCAGCTTGGTGCTTGGGAGAGAAGAGACAGAGCACAGCTGGCACAGTACTGTGAGAATGGAGGACGTGGATCTAAGAGACCACATGATGAATCAAGTTGCGTAGCACAATGGTAGTAGAGATGCTGGTCAAGCGGGAAATAGAGGGGAAACTTGTAGGAAGGATAGCAGAAATAGCAGAATAAGATGTTGATATATTATAGACAGATATGCCTCGATGAATCGTCTTTTTTCATTCAGTTCTTCTGCCTGACACTCCTGTAGAAACTCGTTGACGAGCGCGGAGTATGTGCTTGTAGCTGATCCTTTACTTACAGGTCTCACTCCAGCTCATGCTTGCAAATGCAATACCTCATGCATGTTCCATGTCAGTTGTGATGGCTTGACATCCGCTGTTTGGCCACCCTGTGGCTAGGCATACATAACTACAGGCTAACTATTGTTTAATATGTTATAATATAATTTTAACATCCATCTTTATCGAATCAAAAATTAGCCAAAACCTTTTTTTACTAGCCTTGACACTGATTCCTACCAGTCGGTGACTGGACGCTTTCAGTGATATGACTGCGATAGTCAGAAGCCGCGTACCTACTGCTTCCCCAGACCTTGGCTGGCTGAGGGTGGCCTAAATAGGTATAGATATATGCAATGAGTCGGAAAGTGCTGATGCTATTCAATTTCAGCTCCCGCATTCTCATGTAGTGTACCGGCTGTGTGCGGGGCGCAGCAGAAGTAAAAGCCACCGACCGAGTCCCGACGAAGCTGAGCCGGATCCCCGGCATTCACCAGGCCGGTAGGTGGCTGCAAGCGGCTGCCGATCAAGCGTTGGGGGCGTGGATGGGTGGTTCAACCTCACCAACCTGGGCCATCCTCCTTCGACAAAAGTTACGCTGATTTTGACTCTCAAATACGGATACTCAAAACTCAGCCATGTTCTGGCCATGACGAATCTGTAAGACATTAGTCGGCAAAGTCCGAGTTGAATAAACTACCTTTTCCTTGCATACCTGCGAGATAAATCTCTGAATGGGCTTTTTGTAAAAATTAGCGGGGGCGCGAGCTCTCTGCTCTTGTAACTTATAATTTCGTGAGGGATTCTCTGAACTTTACACATCAAGATAGTTTAGAGTAACAAGGTAATCCTATACTATGTGGACTTCTTTCCTGTTACTTGACTTGTAGTCCTCGTCAAATGGATTGCTACATGTTGTCACAATCTTGTCCCAGATGTCTGGGTAGTTGACGCCGTTCGTCCAAAACCACCGCCCTACTCCACATCGAGTATAGTTCTCGTCCCCCCTCAGAAGTAGGAGAAATATGAGTTCAGTCCCATCATCACCCAACTCAAGGTCAAGGTGCGGCACATAATAGTTATAAAGTGGCAGCGTGAATAGTGTCTTTTCTGTGCTGAGGGGCTCATCCAGGAAGATTTCCATTCCCAAGGGAGTTCCATTTAGATCAGGGTTCTTAATACCGGGTCGCACCACAATCTCATTCAGAGGCCCCTCGAGAATCAGCATTCCGGCCGAAACGCTCCCGTGTGGGTCTTTCGAGACGGGCACGACATCGGCGCGGATGACCTTCGACCCGGCGGCAACATTGAGGGACATCATTTCGATCGTGTAAAAGTCTCGATCGTATTCAAAAGGAAACAGTTTGATTCGGTTCTCGGTAGATGCCCAAGACCAAGACGGGGCTCGGTATTCCTTTGAACGATGTGCTGTAGGCGGCTCACTGCGCCAGCCTAAATGCATCAGAAACGACTCCGGATGTAGGTTCCAGATTCCGGCGAGATAGGCTGCGCCCGTCAGTTCTTGCAAATGTGTAGCTATCCCAGACAAGGCTGGAAGCAGGTCCGAGCGTCTGGTCAAAGAAGCTGATGTGTAGCGGCTAAGAATACCGTCCCAAGCCTCGAGAAGGTCAATATCGGGCGCTCTGCTTCCAATTTTGACCCCAAGCTTGACAGGCAACTTGATACTGGATACAGAAAACCCGTCAGACAAAGCCTCACAGGCATTGAGCTCCTCGCACTGCCATACAAGCTGTTGACGAGTGAAATGAATCATTCTCCGAGACAGGAGTCGCTCCTGCAAGACCCAGCCTCTCTTGGAGCACAAAATTAGTAGAAAAGCGAAACGAGGTCGTGATTCGAGTTACTTTACCTTCTGCAGTGGTGCTTTCTCAATATCGGACAACATTTTATTTGCTGCCCCCTCCGACACAAGTAGCATGGTATCATCTTCATCTTCAGCGCATATTCCAAGGCCAAATTTGCTCCTTTTTCGAAAGAGGCCGCCTTGTGAATTGCAAGACGCTGTCGCGGCCAAAGTGCAAAGGCTGTTTCCGTATACAGATGCCATGAGAGAAGATTCCTTTTCCCAGTCTTTCAAGCTATCTTGCAGTATACAGATGCAATCCACCCAAAGATACCTAATCCCCAACCTTTGAGTGCAGCATATGGCGTCCTCAAAGATTGGCGGTAAGATTGGAAGACTTTGAAGCAAATTCGATTTATTGAGACTGGTCAACTTAAAAACCGTGGCCGGTGCTCCCCAGCAGTGGCTCAACGTCAAGTACGGGCCCTGCGGCAAAGAAGTCGCAGTCTCAATTATCTTGACACCGCTTCGCTTCGCCGCTGGACCCCCCACATCAATCAAACGCGTAGGATACCAAGCGAGTCTCCCATTTGTCTGCGATGCTTCTAGTCGGCATGCAGTATGATTTTCGAGACAATGTGCCAAGGCACGCGAGACGAAAGAAAACGAGGCCTCTGACTCGGTCGAACCAGATGGTACTTGCTGAACAGATATCTTGGAGTTTGCCGCTGATACATTTCACCTCTGTCAGCTTCTTCCTGAGGGGCGACAACATTTGTAAAGTGAGTGAAAGGAAGCTTTACGTACTATTTTTTCCCAACAGAAACTTTTGTGTCAGCTCCGCCGGATCCTGGGTACTCGTACGGGCCAACTGCACTGTAAAGATGAGGCGACATCCAAATTCCTCGGTAGCGAGGAATTGCATCTTAAATGAGACATTGGCAATCTGAGGACGGGACCCTGACAGCGTCGACGACTGCAGCTCCGAAAACAGCTCCGAAAACAGCTCCCGACAGATGAAGCAGCCTCCCATGGCGGCTTGAACAAAGCTCACGTGGGAGGTGTGCGTGTGCTGAGGACGACTATCGTAGAACATCATACCCGACATGCCGTTCATATAGCTTTGCTGGCCAAGCCAGTCAGGGAATGATTTGCCGCAGAACTTGACGCATGCTTTACACGGATCACACAATTTTTTTGCCCAGTCATCGGCTTCCTGAGCTTCCTGAGCTTCCTGTACAGCTCGCGACTGCTCCATACTTGGTTCAGGTCAGCTGGACGAGTTCATCCAGAGAATGACTTTATGCCTAGACAGAAAGAAAAATGGCACACACAAAGATCATTTTATTTTCTGCAATGCAAGATGTGCTGACTCCTTCTCTGTGTAGCTGCCTAATCGAAGAGGAGTCGCTACCCAAACGGGGAAAGGGATCAGTCTGCGAGACGCACTAAATCTTCCGTTTGGGGGGGGGGGGGGGGGGGAGGGGCTAAGGTGCTGCATTCAAAAAAGACCACCATGTTTGGGTGACGACACACAAAGATATATACTATATAATAACATGATTCTTCTAAAGATTCCCACACATCGTATTCTGTGTGTAAGTGGGCTTCTGGAGGCTCTCACATCGTTCTGTTGAATGGCAGCACATAGTACCCTTATGCCGTCTGGCATGTCACTAAGTGATCTTTTTCTTCTTCTTGTCCTAAAAGAACTAATATTTGAACCATCATTCAAATAAAGTCTTGTAGAAAATATGACGAGTAGCCCCATCAGAACAGTGCGATGAACTTTGTCATGTGGAATCAATTGTTGAAGACCGAACAAATTTTGTCCAGCACAGTTACGATGACGAGTCTCCAGCGAGATTTCAAATTGAGCAGTCGTTAATTAATTATCTCGACTATATAAATCGCAGGATTCACTAGAAAAACGGCTCAGTCGCCAAGTCGGAGGTTCTGACATGGCGGTCGTGTGGGCACTATCCAGACAAACATTGCCCATATTTTGCTCCGAGAGCAGCACAAATAAATTTGCACAAAGCCACGAATATGCTTAGTCTAGTCGTCCAATCAAAAGTCTTTCAGTGAAACGTCCTGGGTAGGAAAGATTGGCCAGTTTCGTCCGCCCGCATCGTCCAAGACTGTGACGGTGATTTTGCCGAAACTATCAGTCAACTCTTGGACATTGTTGTACCAAGAGGGATTGTCTCGATAGATTGCTATAGCGAGACTCCTCACGTTGTAGCCGTCTGGGGAGCTGAAGGTCCACCAAGCCAGGTTGGTAGGATGCACTTCGGTAATTCTTGCGCCGCTGGTTTTGGAATACTTTTGCAGCCCTCGGAAGAATCGTTTCATGTCTTCGCGTGAGGCAGCGGCCACTATCCATCGATGCCAGTCACCGGCGCCATTGTTCTTGTTGGTCTGTATGAGATGGGCATAATACGGACTGTCATGAGGGTGATGGTGATAAGACATAATGAAGATGTTGACTGCTATTGGGTACTGTCAAGAGGAAGAAGTGAAGTGAAGAAGCAAGGTGAAAATAGTGTTCCGGGTAACAGCGCCGTGGTATATATAGTTTTCACTCTGATGATTTCAGAAAGCTGAACCGCTACTTGTAGACTGTAAGGACAAATGACGCAATGATTGGCAAACGTGGCTACCTGAAAGAAATGCCTAATGGTATGTGTATGCTGTGAGATGACTCGGGAGGAGCGCGTTGTGCTGTATAACAGGCCAATAACTACTTGACTATTGACTTGAACCTGGCTTCCGTCACGGTTCTGTCACCATATATGTATTCATGCTGTCTGTTTCATCTTTCAGCTCTTGCATAGCTTTCCACTGTCCACATAGAAGCTCGAACGGCGTGCGCCATGTTCCACGGAGCTGCATGCTAGTGCATTGCGTAGTGGTCGCAAGACCGGTAATACTTCCCTATCCCATGCCCGGCATTCGACATATGATTGAATCTCTGCCACTGCATTCAAAAGTCACCTAGTCCTTCCCCAGAGACTTACATGAAGTAAGCGTCGTCACTGGTAGAATATGATTGGAGGACATTCGCGGGGCTGAGTATTGCAAGTCACATTTTTGGCATACACCGGCCGATTTCTGCCGATTATCGACATCGGTACAGAGATCCAATTACCTCATGATTACTAGCAGCAGGTAACTTGTATGCTGCAAAACTCGACCTGTCAATTAATGGATGCTATATCGCCTGCAATATGCTCCCCACGCCTCGCCAAGCTGTGCAACCCAATAGCTGTCCTCAACAAATCCGTAGCTCTGCAGCCTGTAAAGGCCTCTTTCCCGAGTATACGCGCTTTCAAATTGCTGGCAATGCAGATATGTACCACCGAAATCGGCCAGATGCGGCAAGCATGGGGTAACGATGTTCGCGGCAGTCGCAGGCCAGCGCAAAGCTGAATGTGCTCGACGTGGCGAGGGCGCATCACAGCACGCGAGCTTCCGGGTTCAACTCTATATGTTAATCTGATTGTATCCAAAAAGTAAAGAGAAAAAAAAAAAACTTGCTCGGAAAAGTCGGGATATGGGCATGCTCAATCAATGCCGCGGCGATCCGCAAACGCCTGAGACTGGGCATGCGGAAGGCTTCCTTGTATGGTTATAGAAAGTGATACATAGCTGATGGACCCGAGTTAAAGTACTAGATAGTTTTGCTACTTCATTGTACGCATTCGCTCCTAATTCGGTAGAGATTGCTGAAATGGGTGCAAATGAACAAGAGCAGCCGCGGCGCTTCCTGAAACCTGCAGCAGCAATGGCGGTGCAGCGCGAAAGTGAATATAGCCAGTGAGACAACTCGATTGTTTCTCATTGCTTGCTACTGCAGATGAGCTAATCTTGATATACAATGACGCAGCTTCTTGTTCTTTTTAAGCTTGTTGTTGGAGGATTTGCGCTTTCGTTTGTGCTAAGGAATAGAGACGATGGCTCCATCCACTATTATATTTCCCCCGGCCCTTTATTACCTCGATTTCGGGTCGATACTAGACATACTGGAACTTTCAGCCGAATTTTCAGGAAACCTGAGAAATATGGCAAGCTTTTCTAAGAAAAAATATAATAATAAAAAAGAAAAACAAAAAAACGAAAGCAGTGCCATATTCACTGCCGCAATTCCGCTTCTTCGTGCGCTGACTCCGAGGCGTATGGCTTTTACAGGACCGATTGTGCGATGCAGTCCCAACGGCACCATTTTCAATAATTACGAGCTTTCTAGCGTTGCTTACGGTCGGTGGGTAGACAAGTCTGAGTTTTTCGCTGCAAACCTTGGCACGGATGCGACATTCAACTCAAAGTATCATGAGGACTATGTAAAAAGGCCATTGTAACCGCGGTTGGTCATCGCCTTGTTGATATATTTATTTCTATCTGCTGGTCTCTTAATACACTCTTAATACACATTGGAACGCATCGGAGATGGAGGGCTTCTGTCGCGAACTCCTCGATAATGCTGTAGCGCAAGTGCAGTCATCTGCAAAGGTCAATTCATAGGTGATTGCTGGCAATACACTTGCAGTTTACCGTTTAACGTTCAGCGAAGCCGCCTGTACTGATGCAAAAGAAAAAAGAGAATATGCATATGTGTGTATGCGTGTGTGTCTTTAGTAACCTACGTGTTCCCGGCGCTTGGCCTGTTTTGCATCGCTAATATGGCAAACAACATTACTATCACACCTGTCTGAACCAGCACTATGACATGCTGATTCCGACGGTACCAATTCATGCACTCGGCCCAGAAGACACTATGTCCGCCAGCACGGAGAGCAGTGTGCAAGCCTGGAAGACCGTCTAGGCTGCTCGAGTTCCATTTTTGCTGGTGTTCCAGCGTCTGGCCCCGATCAACCGCGTACCGGGCATACTCCTCCAGTCGCGGCCGGGTCAGGAGGCACGGTTTTGGCTCTTCCAGGGTCGGATCAGGGTCCAAGCCGAGGAGAGGAACGCCAAACCCGCAGGATACCTGGACCTGTCATAAGGGCAGTGTGTAAGCTATCAGTTTGCCATACGCCGTCATGCTGCAATCAGCAAAGCACACACCTTGAAGATGTTGAGCACAATGACGGCCCGGGCGCCCACCAGTTCCTTGTCGCCCATCTTCTGAAGCCACGTGTGAAATTCGGGCCTGTCGCTTTCCGTCACGGAGCCCGTGCAATATAGGCGCAATATGCGCGGTGTCTTGTCAAAGGAGCAGAAGAGCATCGTCACCCTGCCGTTCTCGCGGACATGGCAGATGGTCTCGCATCCGGATCCCATGGAGTCGACATAGGCGACTTGGTTGGGGCCGAGCACGGCGAGGGACGACTTGGGCAGCCCTTTGGGCGAGACGTTGATGTGACGGCCTAGGAGCGGCGCGGATGCCACGAAGAAGACGGACTGGCGCAACGCCCAGTCGCGCAGGTTATCTGAGAGCGCGTCGTAGGAGATGCCCATCTTCTTTCTTTCTTCTTCTTTTTGGGGGGCGGGGGTGAGGGTGACTGTATTGTGTCACAGATTTTACTTCACAAAAAATCCCAAGCTTGCAGCGAGATTGGCTGCGTTTCGAGGCTTGTGTTTGTCGCCGCGCCAGGAGGGGGCGACACTGTCAGGCGCGGGGAAATTGTTGGCGACGTTGGGGTCATCAAAAGCGTCTTGCGCAGGCCAAAATGCACAAAACGGATGTGCACAGTACATCGGCTCTGGATTCATTTGTTCTTCCCACAGCGCGGGGTTATGTAATGACGAGGTATTGTGGCATTCACCGCTGCAGGGGCGTGGCTTTGTATGCATGCAAAAAGAGGCTGATAGATTCGCTATTCCAAACATGTCCTAAAATAAAACCGAGGTCACCCAACCGTGAGGAACCTTTTTTCTATGCACAGCGGTGGAAACGCGTTTAGATTCTGCTTTCTGCGCCAACTGTTTCGAATCAGTTCAATTGCAACTCCATGTAGAAACCAAAACAACAATGCTGAAAACGATGATGCGGGTAATGTTGGTTGGAAGCGTTTAATCGCAGGCAACATAGGGCTAATGACCTTTGCTCTTAGGGCCCTCGTGGTAGTGAGCCATTTCGAGACCAGCGCGACGGAAGCCGCACTTGATGTAGAATCCCTCGTTGGCCTCGCTGCAGTCGAGGATAGTCTTGTAGCAGCCAACGGAAGCGGCGACGTGATCGAGGGCTTGGATGAGGCGGAGGCCGAGTTTCTTGCCCTGCTGGTCCTGCGCGACGGCAATGTCTTCGATGTGGCCGACTTTTCCAAGCGAGTGGATGCTGCAAGAATCCCAGTTAGCATCATCTCCCAACTAATACAAACATCTTTCAAGCCTTGCACAGGCGTTCAACGTACAACTTTCGCTCGACAATCAGAGCGCCGGTGGCGACGACGGCATTTTCTTTGCGGGCCGCGTCCTCAATGACCATGATGTAGTAGGACCCCGGCTGAGCCTGCATCTCGTCGTACTGCCGTTGAAAGTCGGCCTCGGCAATGTCGCCGACCGTCGTCAGGACGCGCAGGCACTCGAGGAAGCCGGTGGCGTAGTCGGAGCGGCGCAGAGCGCGCATGCGGTAGCCTGGGGGCAGGGCTGCGGCGACGTCGGCGGAGACCAGCTTGTCGGAGAAGAGACCCGGGTCGGGCATCTCGGCAGGTTGCGAGTTTAGCAGAATCGCGGGCGAAGGCATTGTGATGTTGTGTCGAGGAGAGGAGGTGAAGGAGGACGGCTGTTGTCAAAGGTCGTGGGTTGTATGCTGGGCGAGCACAGACGGATGTTTGTTAAGTGCCGGTTGTTGTCGGGAAGAAAGGCCAGGCGAGTGCAGCAACGAGTGTGTTGGAACGAGCGTGTTGTGCTGGAGATATCGAAGAACTGAACGATAAAGAAAGAAGCAATAAATATGGCACGGTCAAAACAACTGGGCTGGCTGGGACCAAGCGACTTTAGTACGAGAAGAGGTTATAGCTGCAAGCACTGATTAGTCGTCTTGACAGGGTGTGTGGCTGTGCAGTGTAATATCTCAGAGGCTTGAGGCTCCAGATAAGCCGAAAAGCGCTAATCGACAGCGGATACAGTGCAAGGCTACCGCTGAAAGGGGTATCAGGACGGCTGAAGCCCCAAAAGCCCCTAAACATGGTGTCCCCAGCAACTGACTTTCCACTGCCCAGGCGGAGCTCTCAGGGCGCTCCAGCCACTAGGAGCACCAGCAGGCCCAAGACCAGCAGTGTTTATTTCTGGAAACGGGGCTGCTGCTGGCTTGCCGAAGAATAGCGTGGCTTTATTATGCCGAATGACGTTGTTCCAGGCACAAGCGATCGTATTGCCATTTGCCAGGATGGCTCAGCCAAGGTCAATCTGTCTATGAACAATGGTCGCTCTTTTGTATATGACCTTGACCGCTACGGCCAACGCGCCGCACATTCCCGGTGCGCTGCGGCAATGTTAAATCTGCCCCTGACGCTTGGCTATCGATAAAGTATCACCTTACCCCTCCTATGTACTCCGTAATCCGTACATATCTCCATTTGGGCTGTAGCCGCCGTCATCATCCATATCTAAATGCGCAACACCTCCCGTCATAAAGCAATCCTAGGCAGTTGACAGGATGTGCAATCCCTGGATACTCATCATGGCCTGACGAAGTTGGCGGCGACACCTCAGCAATTAGGCGCGCCCGCGTACCCGCGCACTCGCGCACGCAAAGGAACAACTTGGATGCCTATTTGTCGTCCATGAACAAATCAAGGCAATGACGGCCAAACGTATGCCGCTCACCGGGCCCTGTCCATGCCCAGCAGTCCCCCGTCAGAATCATCATCGCACACTAGGCGAGTATGTACCCAGCAGGTCATGGCCTCAGAAGTCGCAGCACCATCATTCTTTGCAGTGTTTCGCGTGGAAAGAATGTCCTTTGTTCATGATAAGAATAAACAATCATTCCACGCGCATAGCGGTTAGTCTCATTACAAGTGCATACCAGCCCAGCCACGTGTTTTGTGTCTGAAATGCTGGCGCTGCCACCGTGTCTTTACCGTGCCCGTACTGTCCACTGTCATTTTGCTGTCAGCTGCCAGTCGAACTCCTCAACTGGCAAACAAATCCAAAGATGCCATTGCCCAACGCAACGATTGCTCTACAACTCCCGCGAAACTTCATCGATATTATTCACCTTATCCCGTCTAATCTTGGAGATGCTTTTCTACGGCGCGTGCCGAAAGGTACCCCTACCGTGTCCGATCCTTGCCGCATCCTACCGCCACTACTTTATGCCACCACAATGACTAGCGCCCTCTGCGAATGCTTTCACATGCTTGCCTCGCCGCCTCTTTCACTAGTTCAATAACATCTCCAAACTTTCGTCACACCCGGCTCGCATAATTCGCCACGTTCCTGACTTTTATGCTAATTTCGTGGAATCTTTCTGTTGTGATTTCTTGTTTCTTTCCAGTTCCTATACTCTCCCTTCCTTGCGTTGCCGACTTCGACTGCTCCTATTGAATCGTCCGCGCCTGTGACATGTCTGTAACAACTCTTCCTCGCTACAACGCCGTTACAGTTTCACCTAGCGCAGATGGCGTCCGGCAAGACACCAAAACACAACCCTGGTCCGACGTTGTTGCCGGGCCCGATAGCATCGACCGTTAGCCTCGCGACGCGCTCAACGTCCCTTGCCATCCGTATCGGTTCCGTTGTCGGCGAATATGGACTCAATGCCGCGCGTTTCACCACCCTATCCAGTCTTGAACTTGCCCGTGGTCTAGTCGAAGTTGTTCTAACTCGCGCCGGAAAGGACACCTTGGATCACGCAAAGAGCAGCCTCGCTGCTGCAGACGCTGAAAATGTACTCGAACGCAGCTTGGAGGGCCTCCATTACGCAGTCATACAAGTCGCTTTCTGGACCTCGGCCAGCTTTCGCCTGACTGGCACAACACTTTCGTTGGCCTCGAATACGTCACAGCTTCTTCTTTCATCTTTGGATAAGCTCCTTGGCTCGACAGACTCTTCTCGTGCCGTCGCCAGCATCATCACTCTCATACGCCGGGAATTTCGCAATCCAGTTACCGGCTTCCAGGGCGAGCGCGTCGGCGTCATTGACCTGACACTAGCTCTTAGTGCCCTGGCTTATTTACAGCAAGCCTGCCGCAAATTGCCTGAGGAAGAGGCGCGCAGAAATGCCTTTGAGGAAGTCATCTGGGATGTTGTTGTACTCAACGATGGCGACCGCGTTGAATTTGACGACAAGATAGCTTTGCAGCGCGGTTTTACGCCGGCGTTTAATCACGAAGCTTCCCGTCGAGGCTCCCAGGATGAGGAAGCCCTGGCGCAGTTGGAGAGCCACATCACACAATCCCTGCCGCCTGAAGCAAAGGTTACCATTTCTAGCTACGTTACAACGGTTCAAACTATTACAGTTGAAGTCGAAGGGTGCCTTCCTGTTCTTCCCACGCCACCGGGGGCCGAAATCATCGAGACTACTGCGCCAGTGTCTAGATCGAAGCGTCTTTCATATCCAGGTCATGACAATGATGGTCCTTACCGAGTCGTTTATAAAATAGAGCGCGACAAATTTCGCGTCAAGAACCTGCAAGGAGGCGACGACATAGAAACAGGTTCAGTTCTAGGTGAAATTGAGAGCGACAAAGAATCTCCTACGCCAATGCAGTACAACCCAGCCACTGGCACATTTCTGCCCGTAGCTACTCCCTCGCCACCACCTCAAGACGTTGACGACCATAAATCAAAATCTCCTCCCGCTTCTCCTAGCAGTGAGGAGAACGATAACATACCAAAAAGCATACCGACCCGCAAACCTGAGCCCACTGCGAACCAGAAACGTCAGAGGCAGCCCGCTGCTGCGGTGTCTAACAAAGCGAACGCACAGAATACTATAAGAGTCTCACAAAAGAAAAAGACGGATGGCATCGGCCGCGCCGTAGACAAAAAGCCTGGTCTCAAACAGGTTCTCAAAGAGGGAAGCCAGTCCATCTCAAATATGTGGAACAAGGATGGCATCGAAAACGGTTCAAGAGCAAGACAAGGAAATACCGCCAGTAGCCGTGCTGAATCATCTCAAAAAGTAACAGCACTGCACAACCGTCCAACCAAAGCATCACAGGAACGGTCAATTGCCAACCGAAGATCCATCGCAACTCCGGAGCCATTGAATCGCAGCTCGTCCCGCACCAGCTACCTATCGCTCTCCGACAGACGGCATTCAATCGCGCAGAGCAGCTATAATGCCGTCACCGGTGGTATGAAGCCGCCCTCGCCGACTCTCACAAAAGACTCGCCATTTCTACAAGATTCTACTTTTCGATCACGGCGAGGCTCGCTAGTCGGTACCACTGTCCCGGCCTCGCCCATGAGAGGTCACCGCCGCAGCGGATCACACGCACCCAGCATATACAGCCTCGCAACAAACGACTCACAGACTTCGCTTGTTCTGTCATCATATTATAAAAAGAGCACTTATAGCACTGCCGATGCTTTGCACACTTTACGCCAAGAAGGATTCGTGGACGGCACATTCCCAGAGGGGCATCTGCTCCCTAACATTACCAGATATATGCGCTTCTCATCAGCATGCTATGGATCGCATTTCCTGAAGTTTCTGGGCATTTCCAACAATATGCCGAAAATGACCAGTTGGGATGGAATTCATCAAGATGTGCGCCACTTTGCTCACCACACCGAGTCCAACACCGGAAACATTTTACTCGCCTCGTTTGTTGATCCCCAAGGCGGAAGCGACTCCACTGGTGCTACTGGCACCGGTGTACCACTCGTTCATTACATTTCTCTCGATCACGAAGCCAAGGCCGTGGTGCTGGCCTGCCGCGGCACGCTTGGCTTTGAGGATGTCATGGCTGACATGACGTGCGACTACGACGATCTCGTCTGGAAAAAGCGCTCCTACAAAGTGCATAAAGGTGTGCATGCGTCTGCACGACGACTGCTCTACGGTGGTGACGGTCGCGTCTTGGTCACACTCAAAGAAGCCCTCGCTGAATTTCCCGACTACGGCCTGGTCCTTTGCGGCCACTCTCTGGGGGGCGGAGTGACGGCTCTTCTTGGTGTCATGCTGGCCGAAGCAAACCTCAATGGTCCGGGCTTTGTCACGGCTCCCGAGGCTGCGTTCAAAAAGATGCTCACCGACGGAAGGTCTAACAACAACATGCACAACGAAGTCTTTATCCCTGCCGGACGTCGCATCCACGTCTACGCGTACGGATCTCCGGGCGTCATGTCCCCCAAGCTCCGCAAAATTACCCGCGGCCTCATCACGACCGTTGTGCACGGCGACGACCTGGTCCCGCACCTCTCCCTCGGCATTCTGCACGACTTTCAGGCCCTCACGCTCGCCTTTAAAGACAAGGAGAACGCGACCAAGGCGGACATGCGCAAGCGCATGTGGGCCGCGATCCAAGGCAATCTGTCCTATGCGTGGCACGGCGGCTCCGAGTCCCGCGCGGTCCCCGGCAACGACGAGCACAAGTGGATGCTCCCGGCACTGGCGGCTCTGCGCGAGAATTTTACGTGCGAGAGGCTCGTGCCGCCAGGCGAGGTGTTTGTGATTGAGAGCTACCCGGCGCTGCGGCGCGAGGCGTTTTTGCTCAATGGCGAGGGGCTGCTGGGACGGCCGGCGACGAGGGTCATTTTGAAATATGTGCGCGACGTGGAGACGAGGTTTCTGGAACCGCGGTTCGGGACGAGCATGTTGTCGGACCATAGCCCGGCAAACTACGAGAATGCACTGAATAAGATGAGGCTGGGTGTGGTGGACTGACTGGTTTACATGATTTATGGTCAATGTAAACACGACCGAGATACTGCGCTCGAAAACGAATCATGATATATATATACACACTGATATACTAGCGTTTGATTTGACCAATGCCAGATATACATTTTATTATAATTTTACACATTCATACATTGTCTCGTTAAAAATCCTGAATGCCCGTCTCACCCTTTAGCAACGCAGCATCATCCACCCTCATGGGCTCCTCCTCATCAAACCACTGCTCCTCCGCCTCTCTCCTCGCCAGCCCATCATACTCTTCACTCCCATCCACCGCCTCGTACGCAAACTCTGCATCTCGCCCCCGCACGAACCGATCCGTCAAGAACAGCCGCCACAGCTCCAGCCCTTGCGCTTTCGTCTCTGCAGGCTGGTCCCACGCCTCCTCGACGCCCCCCATCGTGGACGGCTCTTGAGCATCGCGCAGGGTGGCCAACTTGGTCTCGCCACGCACGAGGTCTGCTTCCAGAGTGCGGCCGTAGCCCTTGGCGCGGCCTTCGGCCTCGCGCTCGGCGGCGGACTGGTGTCGCTTGACGAGGCGTTCGTACAGAATGGGGTCTGTGGCGTGCGGGTTAGCTTTACAGCGCTTTATCCATGTTTTCGGTTCTCTTTGAAAAGAAAAAAAAAAGAAAAAGATTAAAGAAGAAAAAAAGAAGAAGAATCTCCGCCTCGCGCAAGAGAACAAAAAAAGGGGAAAGAAGGAAACGCACTGGCGAGTTCATGTTCAATGTTGTCAAAGTAGCTGGGGTGGCGGTGGAGATAGTCGCGCCGGCGGTTCTGGACCTGCACCTGCGCGAGGTGCGAGGCGGATTTGCGCAGGCGAGGAACGGGCTTGTCTGTGAGACCGCCGCTTGCTGCATCGGACTCGACGTTCGGCGAAGCGACGGCTGGGAACGAGATTGACATGCTGATGGGCAATGTTGTGCATGGAGTTGAGAGGTTGATGGGAGATGGAGGCAGTATGTGGGAACTGCTTGTTGGTGGTAGTGATGGAGCAGCGGCTAGCAGCATATAGGCACATAAATGGCATCATCACTGGCGGAAATATGAGGCATGAAGAAGAGATCACGGAAAATGAACCCATCCGTTTTTATCTCGCTGTGTGTTTCCATCATCTTTCTTTGCTCCCCTTGGCCTTTACCAGGCTCACCTGCCGCGACTTATGCGTGCCTTGAATATCTGCGCTTATAATGTCGACATCGAAGGTGTAACGCATCGCATCAAGATGATACACACGCACGACACGCACCTGTATCACCGAATGCTCCCCATCGAACCGTATGTCGCAGCCTGCGGAATTCCCAAGTGTTTTGCGGCCGAAATAAAATCCGGCGTCCGCGTGATGCACCCCTACCAGTTCCAACAGGGGTCTTTCAACTCCCCCACGGAATCTTCATCCAACCCCAGATACGCGAGGGCCCGTCCAAGCGCATCAACCACCCTCAGCACGAATTATTCGGTCCGTTACTCGACCATGGTCCAACCCATTGATTCCCGGCTGCAAATGCTGTACAACAGGGTGGAGGCAGCCTCTTGCCAGCTCGAGGAAGAATTGAAGGACGAACCACGGATGCTTGATGAGGTGGCCGCGAAAAAACAGTTGGCGCAAAACTACATTGCGGCATATGAGGCGGGGAAGCCTTTTTTTTCGCGGGACATGGTGGCAGACTTGGACCGACAGATTGACGCGCTGAAGCTGGCCGGAACAGAGCGTGGTGGCAGAGTCACACTCAAGGACGTGATAGGGCGTGAGGGTAGCTGGCCGCTGGTCTACCCATTCAGCCCTGGTAAAGGGTCGGTATAAGTGGTGAACTTGCCACATGCACAGCTTGCTGGCCCGTCTAGTGTTATCATCCCATTGTTTCCCCCCAATGTCACTCCGTCTTGGCAAAAGCGACGGATTCTAACAGCAGCAACAGTTCTTCTAGTAAAGTGTACTTTATCCACTGGAGAACTCATCAGAACATGACGCACATGTCTACAAAGTTTCCGAGAACAATGCTCGAGATCGAGATGCCCGTGGGTCTCTCGTACGGCGAATCCGCGACGCCCTGTGGCTGGCCGCTCGCCGACCTCGAGGCCGCGTTCCGCACGCACCAGGCGTCGTGGCTGCAGAGCGCCGCCTGCCAATCCCTCACCTCGATCCTCACCACCTCTGCCGCCGCGCTGCGTGCGCCCATTCGCAAAATCGTCTGCTTTGGCCTCGGTCGCCTCGACGGGTGGGAAAAGACGACCCGCGAGAAGCTGCTCGCGTCGGTGCGGCGCTCCGCCTTTCAACACGCCGCCGCGCTTACCATGGCTGCTGCTCTGACGACTACGACGGCGACGGCCGCCGCCGCCGGGGAGACGACGGTGCAGTGCTACGCGCAGGACCCCGCATATGCGGCCGAGGAAAAGAAGCTGCTGGCGGCGCTGGGGTTCACGGTACTCGAGGATCCAAAGGGCTTCCTCGAGGTGGATGAGGCGACACTGGTGTTTAGCGTGACGCCAAACATCCCGGTGAGGCAGGTGGTGGCGGACATGGGCTGGCCGGCGGCCATGGTGTGGAACAGGATCGAGACCGACAGGCAAAGTGAAGAGGGGAAGGACTACAGGATAGTGCCTGAGTGGGGCGAGAATTTGCGTGTTTCGTGAGTCTTGATTCTTTTTTTCTTACTTGCGAAGTTTCTGCCCAACTTGATGCATCTACCAGCGGTCAAAGCTGCTGTTGAGCAAGATGTGTTGACATTGGAAAACTAACGAGAAGAATCACAGGCCGTGGTCTACAGACGAGGGCTCGACCCGGGTCACGGAGATGGGGCGTCATTACAGTTATTCTCCGTTTCCAGGAGACCCCGGAAAAAACGAGTTTGGTTCTCTTGGTGTATATTTCAGAAAGTAAAGGCGAGCAAGCGCACCAGAAACGAACCCCTGTCAGCACCTTTGTGCAGGTATTCACGAGGAAGTGGGCTGGACAGAGGGCTCAAAATTTAGAATTAGGAGGCATTTCCTTTATGTTGATCATGGCGACTATACACCTGAGAATCTGCTTCACCTCGGAAAAAAAAAGTAGTGTTTGCCACCCATCTCTTTGACATGTTCGAGATGTAGGAGAAGATTGCTCTGAGCAACTCGTCTATGAGTTGTGTCATGTGAGTGCTGTTCCATGTGAGCCTCGGCGAGCACCAATAGTGCCGAGGGAAACGACTGGCAGTGATAATAAGCCTTTCGGTAGGATGATGAATTCGAGTCATTATGATCTGCTCTCAAGTCCGACACTTCTAGCCTACCTTTTCTTCTGCTGCTTGAGGTTCGAGTACACTGACAGTGTCTTGTACTCGCGTCAACTCACGCTGAGTATCAGGCTACTTAATAGAAAACTGTAACAGACCGTCAGAATAGGGAATTGAAATGAAGCTTGCCAAATAGATTTCCTTTCGACTTTCAAATGTCTCCGCATATTGGTTCTTTTGTGCTTGATCGAGAGAAGAGTGTCAGAGTGTAACAGCAGCTCTACGCCAAGCACCTCTCCGTAGAATGGATTTGGCACCCAAAAGATTGGCTGGACCGCAGAGCAAATCTTCAACTATGGCATGCAGTGTCTACTGGCAGGCAATATGTTTCAGCCTCAACTTTCGCTTCTACTCAGCAGTGATGATGTGCATCCGATTCTTACTCATCGTAAAACATGATAAGCGCGACAGTAAAGTCTGTTCGCCGGCTTGTCGTGGCGGTGCAGTCTCTCAAGAAGATCCCTTTGCGGCACGACCAGGAGACTTTTCCAGAAAAATTCTTCAAGGTTGAAAATAACAGCATCAGCTATACAGGGATGCGTTGGGCAGCAAGAATTACTTGAGTGCCAAGGTTGGGCGATGCAGAGTGGCGAATTACATATATGTATGCAAGATAGCCCACTGTGGCAGGGGCGAATCTGACTTATGCTCCTATACAGCGCTAAAGTCGGCCGATGAACTATAGTACCGAAACACTCGTTCACTGTGAAGTGTGTGAATCTGCACTTGCGGATGTTCACCGTTTGCCACCCGCCGAGCTCTCGAAACAGCAACTCTCTACCCAAGCCAAGGCAGGACAGACTGAGATGCTCCGTGGCGGACGAGGCTAATGTCGGCTAGGAGAGGCTGTCTGTCTCATGTTGAAGAGTGTCACCCTGCCAAGTCTTGTGCAACTGCGTTGTGAAGACGGGCATGGAAGCAGTGGCTATGGATGGAAGTCAGGTCTTGCTGAGTCGGTGCTAAGACACGGACACGGGCAGATGCGCGCCGCAGAAGAGATCTATCAAGATCATTCTCTTGAAATATTGATAAGATACATATAGCATTGTGAGATTCCTCGGCGGGCTTTCAGAACCAGGAAAGAAGGCACATACAGGCAAGTTTCGAATGCCGCTCTCACCGAATAACGCCACATTCTCAACGAGGATATAGCTCACTGAACACCGCTATTTGTTGCCATTCTGTTTTCTGCATCATGGATAATGACTGCAGAAAATTTATGCAGACCATATGCGATGCGAGTTGTCTGTGTTACGGTCGAAGCGTGGCGCGCACACCACGAGCTCCCGCTGCATTCAGGTTGCAGGCATAGCAGGCGCCCATGTATGACAGGCATGTCACATCGCTCGTTGCCGTGTTGTTAGAGGTTCTTTACACAAAGAACACGTCAGAACTCACATTCTGCTGTCAAGCGTCGCACAAAGGTGTCTGTCCCTGGACCAAGCCTCCTCTCTGTATTACACCACACCGGTCCCGGCTTTTGGCCGGCGTTGCACCACAGCCTTTGGAGCTGAGAGGAAAGAGTTAAAAAGGCAGCATAGGAGGGGAGAGAAAAGACTGCGGGAAAAGAAAAAGGAAAGAGGGAGAAAAGTGGCCATAAAACGTCTGCAGGCTGCATGTTTCATCTAGAAATGCAGGCCTGTGGCAAATGTTATTTCTTCAAGGGTGCACTCGTTTTTTAGTGTGACGGTCCGATAGGCTGCCAGCTGCCATGTGAGTGTGAAAAAGGTCAAGATGAGACGGCCGCAATTCTCCTTTTCTCCTGGATGGCTGCGCACATGCATGGGCACGGGAAATAACCTCTATTTGGAGAGAAGAAATCGAGATTGAAAGACGAAAAGAAGAGACTTGGCAAACTGGTAGAGGAATAGCCCGATCCGCATGGCAATGTCCTTGGCGCATTTGGCCGCCTAAGGGTCCTCTGTCCAGTCCCTTGGTGCGCTTGACAAGGGATTCTCGCCGGCGAGAGCTGACAGAACTCTTGGCTGCCGAGCTGTAAGACGTGAGTGAACTGTTGTTTGTGTCTGCCTAGAGGGGGTCATGCAGGGGTCTGGTCCGAGTAAAACGGTCGCGCGAATTGGGCAACCTAACTGGGCTGGCTTGTGTTATGTCACTGTGCGATGCTGGGCAAGCCATGTCGGAGACTCGGGTTATTATTTTGTTCTTACGAGTTTGCCTTTATTTCTGCCTGCCAGCGTAGCATGTGGTTTTGCATGAGCTTGCGTTTTCTTTGTTGCTTCTCTTATACCTGCTCGGTGCAGCTTAGCTGCATGGCTAAGCCGGGCAGCTGCGTCGTGAATCGTTTGTTGCCGAGTCGCAGACCCAACGTTTCGTTTGGTTTCGTGACAGCCGTTTTCATGTTTTCTCATCTTCAAATCTTATTATTTGCCTTCAAAGGTTTGTTTCTGGCGGATTGTGCGTTAATACGCTCGCGCGGTCTTACAGCCAGCTCGTTGCCTGGCGCGTCGGGATGCTGCCGGGTTTGAGCTCACCCTCCAAGTTGAAGAGGTTCTTGCTGCGCCGTCACAACTCGGCTTCTGGAGTCTCACACAGCTCGTCAACGAGTCGACCGAGTGAGGAGGGTGCAGACGCAGGGTCGTCGACGGGCCCAGGTTGGCAGCCGCAAACGCAACAGCTTCGGCCGAGTCAGTCACAATCCATCCAACAAGGACCCAATAGACATGTCGAAAGAAGCAGTCAATCGGCTGCAAGACAAGCATCAAGCTCACCGCCCATCTGCACGTTGTCGCCAGCTCTGCTACCGCGAGGAACAATAATGGACGGGAGGGATTCTTTGCCAGGACCCCGCGCGAAGTTGACGATGTCTGCGGACATGGAGAGACGGAGTGCCAAACATGGTGGGGATGGGCCCGAATGCGCTGAAACGTGTGCCAATACCGCCGCTGGGGCAACTGGAAAGAGCTCCAAAGTCAGTGAAAGGTCCGCAGAAAGTGCCCTTGTTGACACTGAGGCCACTGGTGTCTCGGAATCGTCAGCGGCCAGTTCAGCACTTTTAGCGCAATTTACGCTCCCTGCACCTTCCTTAGCACCCTTCTCAGCACTCTCACCCCCTGTATCCCCCGACTCAGGTCCTCGTTCAGCTCCCGCAGGTCCCTCGACCGGCTATAATAGCACCTCCACTGACACCCAAATTCTCCACAATCAACGCCTCGAGCTGCAGGATCGTCTCAAGCGTCTCTCTCATCAGGATCCTCTCTATTTCGATCCTGCTCTGCTCCCATCACCATCTGCGCGCGACAACAATAGCAGTCCCGGCACCTGCGCCAACCCCCCGACTCTTCACAGCATCTTTGAGAACTTTAGCACCGAGCCCTTTCGCAAGCTGCGGCCCCCCGAGCGCTACCCCGGCGAGCAGGGCGACCCGTACACAGATCCCCGTGTCCACCCTCTCCACGCCCCCATTGGCACCGCCTCCTCCTCCTCAACTGCCGCAGCATCACCGCCGCCGGCGCCATCCACCTCGACGCGTAGCCGCATCTGCCAATCGTCTGCTGCTGCTTCTTTCTCCTTCTCCGACCATTCATCCCGCCCTCCCGCCGCGACGCGGCGATCCAGTGGCTCCGGCCCTGCCATCCGCCAGGTCAAGACGCCTCCCCAGGCGCACTTTGTCCTCGACCCTCCTCCCGAGTTTGGCATTCCCTCGCCGCCCACCATGGTCAATGCCCGCAAGATTTGGGTTCGCCGGCCCGGTGCCTCGCCTACCCTGATCACCATTTCCGAGGACGATCTTGTCGACGATGTCCGCGACATCATCCTTCGCAAGTACGCCAATTCGCTCGGCAAGACGTTTGATGCCCCCGACCTGCATCTTTGCGTCCACCCCCGCGACCAAAAGGACCGCCTACTGCAGCCCGACGAGCACATGTGCCGGACTCTTGACAACTTCTTCCCCGGAGGTCAAACAGTAGACGATGCCATCCTCATCGATATCCCGCGTAGGACGCCCAAAGCCTCGCCGCATCCGGTCCAACTCGGACACGGCCAACAGCAGCACCACGTTCCCCACACCGCCGCCGCGATATACTACACCGAGGATGGTCGGCCGCTTGAGTCTGGCGAAGGCTATTTCCCTCCCGTCGGAGCTCTGCCCTCGCCGCATATGCAGCTCGCCATGCCAGCCACAGCTGTCCACGGCGGTCAACCACACTCAATTGCCGTCATAGGATCTGGTCACCTTCCTACAATCCCGTCACCAGGAGGGTTACGCCCTCGTGGCCATCGCGAACAGACCGGCCGTCCTCGAGTCGCCCGCACACACACGTCCACGTCGGCCATGAATGGAAGTCATGGTAACTACAGCCATGGTACGCACCAACTCCACCCCCGACTAGCCCACTCGCGCACTCATTCAAGCTCTTCAGATCCCGTTGGCATGCCTCCTGGCACTGTCTCTGTACCTATGCCATCTCCTGGCCACGAACACGTGTATTCTTCCTCTGGCCGCGTTGGTATCCCGTCGCCCCGGATGCTCGAGACTCGATCAGCCAGTAACCGTCCCAAGCGACGCCCAAAGAATGTCGATTTTGCTGGTAGTGCTGTGGTGGCAGCGGTTCCTCCCATCAGCATACTCATAGTCGAAGACAATCCCATCAACCTCAAGCTCTTGGAAGCCTTTGTCAAACGCCTCAAGGTCCGCTGGCAGACCGCCACCAACGGACGGGAAGCTGTCAAGAAATGGCGGACTGGCGGCTTCCACTTGGTTCTCATGGATATCCAGCTTCCTGTCATGAACGGTCTCGAGGCTACTCGCGAAATTCGCAGACTGGAGCGAGTCAATTCGATTGGCGTCTTCTCCTCGGTTCCCACCACACCTCAAGAGGAACTCGCTCTCGAATTAAATGATAAAGACCGCCTCGAGAATCGACATCATTTCAAAGGGCCAGTTATTATTGTGGCACTGACAGCCAGCTCATTGCAAAGTGACCGACATGAAGCCCTCGCAGCCGGCTGCAATGACTTTTTGACAAAGGTGTGTACTGTGCCGTCACTCACGGCGAAATACCGCTAATCATGTGTAGCCCGTCAACTTTGTTTGGCTTGAGCGAAAAGTCACAGAATGGGGATGCATGCAGGCTCTCATCGACTTTGACGGCTGGCGTGCCTGGAAGTCATTTGCCCTCGCTGAGGAGGAGGCCAATAAGAAGGCAGCGGCAGCAAAGAGCAAGGCTAAGAAATCTCGCTCTTCACTTGCTGCCCAAATTTAGCCCACGCAGCCGACCATATCGCGCACGCCGCACGATGCACCAATGACCGGTATTCGTATCAAACAACCAAGACGACCAATTCTCAATCAACGCCCAAGACGTTACTATTTCATTTTACGCCCAAGAAAATGCATTTTCTGTTGAGAAAGTTCGGACTTTGAAAGTGTGAGGAGGATATGTGCGATATGGGCACCGTTTTTCGCCTTTTGATCCCGAATTTTTATTCCAGTTTACAATTTCGTGTGGATAGCACATTATACCTTGTAGTTGGGAAGCATAGAGCCAGGCGGGATACAGCTCACATTGTTTGCTTTGGAGGCCTTTTTCGACAAAACGCGATTGATTCTCTTATTCTCGCTAGACAAAAACACAATCGTCTCACTTAATTGATCTACTCACATTGCCTTTCGCTCTTTTGTACTTGTTTTGTCATTAATGGCATCACAAGCAGGTCTCCCAAGCTCTTTACCAACACGACGCGGCCGGATAATCAAGTCGCCGCACCCCGTTCCGGACCCACCCCAAGGAAATCTAGTCGAAGCTCCGACCAGAAATTCTCCTAGCAGGAACTTCTCGCGTGCCCAGCCCTCTGCACCAATTGAGGGAGCATGTCTACGCCCTTCTGCTTCCTTTTCTCTTCTCTTCATACCGTTTTGTTTCCTTTATTAGCGATTGTTCACCTCCTGCCTTCTCCATAATGCCTCCACGCGTCGGCAGCACCCGCGCGCCGCTGGCCGCCGCCGATGCTCTTCTCCTATCCTCGAGCCGGCCACGCACCACCACCACTCCCACCCCCTCACCGGCATGCGCCTTTTCCACGACGCCATGCTGCGAAAAGAGCAGCGCCGCCCGTCGGCGAATGTTTGCGTGGATCAATAGCCAGAGGGGCCAGGCGCTCGCCAACAACACCGGCCCGGGCTCGCTGAGCCACCACCGAGACGTGCCGTTTCCCAACAATCCGCTATTTCGCAGTGAGAAGGTTGTTGGCGATTCGACGAGGCGCCTCATCTATCAGCGCGCTATGAAGGACGGACAGGCGCTCAAGGCCATTGCGGCCGAAATGGGTCTCGATGTGCGTCGTGTGGCAGCCATTGTGAGACTAAAGGAGGCACAAAAGCAGTGGACTGATTCGGTAAGTTATGCCGAATTTGTTTTTTCCTTCAAACTCACATTTTGCCCACATCAACCCGCTTGCATGATGAAATTACTTTTTAAAAAATTTCGATTAGTCTTGAAGACATTAAAATGGTTATACTTTTACGCCTGACTGCAGCCCATTACCTTACACGCTATCGCGCATACATAATGGGGTGATGTTGCTAACGTCCAACAGGGAAAAAAGCTTGCCACACCCTACGCCAAAGCCGTCCAAGGTCTACTCCGGAAATGGGGCTACTCGCCCGGCGAGCCCGGGCAGGTTCCGTTTGAGCCCGTCAACGACATCCACGTGCACAGGTACACGATGCAGCAGCTCTTTGTGCCCGTGGCTGAGTCGACCGAGTTTACCCGCGAAGATGCGGCGGCCGCCTTTTACGACAACATGTTGTCCGTCGACAAGCGCTCGCCGCAGACCGGCCTCATTGACATGGAGCGTCGAAATGTGGCCAAGCCCGGCGAGCGCAAGGCCAACTGGCGCGCGTTTTCCGAGGCCGAGCGCCAGCGCGAGGACGAGTTTGCCCAAAAGCTGGCTGCGGAGCATGAAGCCGAAGAGGCGGCCACGACGCGTGTCAGGTCGGATAGGTACGAGTTTCGCTTCCGCGAGATGAACGTGGACGACGTGGGCAAGGATGGGCGCTCGCCTAAGGGATTAGGATCGCGCTATGGTGCGCCGCACCTGGATCGCAAGCGGGGCATGATCAAGATTCCCAAGTCGGTGCCGTAGATGCGGTAGATTGGGACACGTGTATATATTAAGGCTGTTGGCATCGGTGCATGCAGGGCTTTGTACATTAGGCATGTACAACAGGGAATCAATTCACATAATTGACTGTACTTTTACACACCTACACTAAGACTGGTACGTCACAAGTTCTACTGCACTGGCGTCTAGCACTCTACCGTCGTGTAAGGTCGACTCGATTTCTCGACTCGATTTCTCGAAGTTTCCTAAAATGCCCACATACCTTCCCGTCGCCTCGAGCAGCTCCGCGAGCCCCTTCCAGCTTCCTCGTTGAGCTATCATGCGTGGATCAACTCCTTTGTCCCTAGCCCTGCGTTCTTGTCCTCAAAGAACACAAATTTCGCGATGTGGTTGCATCGGCGCTGGAAAGGGCAATTTGCAGGTAGGGTAGGGGGGTATCATCGAGGTGGCCCGTTGCAGGTCGAGGTCTATACTGCTTCAAGAGCCGCCGCGGTTGTCGAGGGCTGGTGTCGTGATTGAGGTCGAGGAGATGGGCAGTGCGCTAGCAGCGTCTAGTCGGTCGAGCGGGCCAGGTATAGACGGTAGTCATGTCGATTAATGTGACTGTCGCGATTCAAAATTTGAGTCCGTCGGTCTCACCTAAACTGCCGCCGTTTAGGTCATTGGGCGTGACGACAACTGCCGCCTCACCATGTAGTAGTATACTCAAAGCAGTAACCGTACGGGGTTTATGTGCAGCGCTACGGTATTTCAGTTTCTGTACTAGTTTCAACGTGAAAAAAACGTTGTCAACTCTTCAGGCCATATTAGACTCGAACAAGGACAGCTGTTGGGATGGCAGGCAGCGAATGGCAGCATCTTCGCACACAACCAAGAAAAGCGTGCCAGCCCGAAGAGGAGTAGCGTCGGGACGGGCCACAGAGAGAGTTTCAAAATCACAGAGCTCCGCTGTACCATCTTATTAGGGCTGGTTCGGCGCTGTGAGGCCTAAATAGGTACCTAGGTATTGGCTGGCTGATGGTTATCTTGTGCAGATGGCGAGTCCACTCAACAGTGTCGGGACCGGGGCAGTGGAGAGGGCAAAAAAAAATGTAGACAGTTGCAGAAGAAACGGAAGGATGTTCTGTAGGTAGTTTGTTGATAATTTCAACTCCCTTGTGCTTCCCTTCAATCTGCTGGCCTTGCTTGCATCAACAGGCACGACTCACGCCCAAACGCACTCTATGCCAGACGCAGTTACCACTAGTTTAAATTAGTGCCTCCTTGACGTCACAGGCGAACCGAGCCCTGAAGAAATCAAGGTTAAAAAAAGTGAGCCCATCGTTGGCAACTCACCACAACAAATACCACCATTCCGACTTTTCCCCCCCTCTCCCTGACTTTACTTTCTTTTCGCCATTTTCCTCCACCACCCCCCTCGCCACAGATAGTTACAGACAACACCGCAGCCATGCTCAGCCGTCTCAACATCACCAAAGGTTACCTCGGCTTTGCCGTCGCCTACTTTCTCATCTTTGTGCTCGGGCTCTCCATCATTGGGCTGTATGCTACCGACATTCAGCGGGCGCGGGAGTCGAACTCGCATCCCAACTCCAAATGGGTGCGTCTTTCCGCCCCCAAAATCTGTCTGCAGAAAGTCACGAGAAGAGTTGTTGAATTAACGTAATGTTGCAGGTTTTTGCTGTCGTCGTCGGCAGCCTTTCTAGCGTGACCTGCCTCGCCTACCTCGTCCCCTTTGTGTTTCACGCGCTCGGCATCGTCGCGCCCATCTGGAATCTGGTGCTTTTTATCCTCAACATTACCCTGTTTGGCGTCTTTGCCAAGGTATGTGCCGACCTTTGCTTTTTCGCCTCTCTTTCTTTTTTTTCTTTTACAGTTGCAAAGCCAGGGTAGAAATTGTAACTGACATGAATAACCACAGCTCTACCTCCACGAAGACGCTCACGGCAACGGCGCCGTCACCCGCATGAAGAATGCCATCTGGGTCGACCTCACCAGCGCCCTGCTCTGGTTGCTCGTAGCGCTCGCCTCGGCGGGTTACTGGTGGAAGCACCGCGATGTGCGCTCACGCTTCACCGGCCGCGCCCATGTCTGAGCGCCTGAAAACAAGAAAGGGGCAAGTTGGCTTGACGCCTCGATATCCCTCTTCCACGCGAACGTCTGTTTCAAGATACCCTTTACAAGTTGAGATGGCCATGATTTCTATGCGGTGTGCTTGTCTGAGCGAGTTGTTATTGATATTGAGCGTATAATTATCGGCTCCTACTATAGTAATACTAATATCTTTACTTTCACCGGCTCTTCGGGCTCCGATTGTCGCCATGCCGTTTACAACAACGAAGAGAATCTCACACTTTGCGACTCGATTTATCACTCCTTGGTCTAGTCGGCGTACGTCGCTGTGTAAAGAAAAAGGAGCACACGTGTGATCTCAGCAGATCGAAGCAGTCGCCCACGCTCGGTGTGTTTCCAAAACATGTGGCTACGTCGAGCAAAGTCCAAAAATCGTTCCCTGGTATTTGGAAAGTACAAGGCGCCCTTTCGCCGTCAAAGTCTACCACTCACTGTTCTCATACTACGCTCAACACGAGCAGGGGCGAGAGAGCCAACAACGAAGGAGTTGACACTTCACTTGCGATAATTTCAATTTCCTCCTTCAGCGTGTTCCTAGACTTCCTGTAGAATCCTTATTGTTTCCGCCACAATTCAGAGTTTTCGCGCGCCGCCCTCGCAGCGCCGTGGCGTTTTGAATTCTTCCCATCCTCCCTATAAACCAACACCCTACTACCCTGCCTCGCCCTCTATCTTCCAGCCTCCGTCTCTTTCAATCACTCTCTCGCCTTCTACCTCTTCTTCTCTCATCTCTCCTAGCTGTTTGGGCGCGCACGTTGTCCTACCCTCAACATGGACTACCTTGGTGTCATCGCCATCCTCTTCGTCGGCTCCGTACTCACTGGCATCGCCGTGGTCGTCATGCACTTTTTTATTGCCGATGCCCTCTTTGCGTAGGATCAATCGCGGACCGTTCCCCCAAACTCCCGGCAGTAAAGCTGATTCGTGACCAGAGAATGCGGAAACAAAAGGCTGCTTCTGTGATGGGCCCATGTTTGTCAGTTTACAAACATGCCTGTGACCAGTAGGTCTGCTATTTCGTCTTTCCGAGAACCTTGAAACCCTGGTGGGTTGGTATGTTGGCTAACGAAGTCGGTGAAAGTATAGAAATGGCCCCATAATGCTTCTGCGGATAGCAACTAATTGTCTAGTTGCTCAGTCTGCATTCTGTGGGCAGTATACCACACTTGTCTTCTTCTTTATATATATACGACGCTTACTTTCGCAACTTTGACGTGCCAAAATTCACGTCTGCTACGATGGGACCGTAACCTTTGACTTCCCATCTTTGGCGTATCTTGGTATCCAGCGAACCAACAGCGCATGGTCAAGTCCTCGTCAACAACGCCTCAGTTATCGTGGTTCCTGACTTCCACAGATGTAGAACTATCCCAAGTGGGGAAAAAACACCACTTATTTTGGTATGATGACGATGGTGCGCTTTTAATTTTATGCTAATTGTTTCTTTCATTCTATGTATCTATTCTTTTTACTTGTAGGTACTGAATTCACCAACTGGCGCATCCGACTTTTACTGCAAAATAAGGGTTCTTTCCACACTTCAACACTTTCAGCATTTGACCACATAGCGAAGAAAGGAAATCATCAAGTCGCACGAAGCGCGAAAATCATTCCATGGCAAATTTCAGCTAGTTGTCAAAGTCATCGCTCTGAACCTGAAAGATGAGGGACACTGCATCGGCAAGTAGTGAGACATGTAAAAGCTCCCCGCCAATACCGGCCAGCGGACCTCATGAGAACACCAGGGCCTCCTCCTCAGCCGCAATGGATGGTCGCTTTGCCAATCATTGCAAGTTAGCTGCAGAAATCCAGCGCTAGAGTATGACTCGTGTCCCGAGCTAGAGACACAATCGTGCATCCCGTCATGCAGTGATGGTTGGAGCAGACATGTTCCGCCGCAAGCTACTTTCACCTGTCTGGCTACGTGGACAATGACATAAACCTGGCCATAACATTCTGCTCGACGGAAAAGACATGCCAGTACTGAACGTCTTTGGCAGGCTACGCTGGGCGGGCGAGTTGAAATAGCATATAGGGTAGCATGACAAGGCCGTTACTTTGCGCGGGAGAGCAACGACCTAAATGCACTAGAGGAGATGAATCTGGCTGTTGGAAAGGTTGGCTATTTGCTATACACTGGTAGGCAGTGTGACCTGACTAGTCAAGAAATAAATCGGCTAGTATTACACGTCAGTTTGGTCGACATGCCGATGTGAGTGCAGCGCAGCGGCGTGGTGCAGTCACTGACCGGTTTGCTGCATGGAGCCCGGCGCCCGGCAAGCATCCCAATCGATGCACATTACAGCAGGCTGACACTTGATTCGCGAAATGTTGTTTGCCTCTTGCGGTAGTGTGTCGATCACAGGGCGACGGCAGCAGTTGCCA